CGACTGGATAGTGAGTGGACTTTGGGTACTAGGAAGGGAAGAGTAGGGAAGGATATTTGCTTCCGTCATGGATGGATGGATTGGGAAAGTGTGCTTGATGATTGTGAGGAGTTGTGACTGATGAGATCATGATCTGTTTATGTGTGTGTGTGTATGTGTGTAATAAGATGTTGTTGAGTTCCTGCTTTTTGAGGATTTCTATTCTTTGGTATTGATGCTGATGCTGATATTGTTATTTATATTCATATTGACTTTCATATTGACTTTCACTCCTGATCAACACGGCCTAATACGTTTCTTCTTATCTACCACTCCCGAGGTCCTACTAAACTGTTACTTACTACCTTATTACTTACTAGCTGCAGTCTGCACGTTGAAGACTTTTCCCCCTTCATCCCACGCACCTCCAGATTTCACACAAAAGGGAACCAAGGGAATGTTCCGCACCTTTGTTTCCCACTCATATACCAAGACATGGGTGGGACGTGTGTATCAAGTGAAGTCTGAAGCTTTGGGAGAAAAGTTTGACACGATAAAATGGAATAAAAACTTCTCTAGGTGGGGTATTTCTTCATGTCAAGAGTCCATCTCTAACCCAATCATATTCCACCATCTTAAAAGCCAACCCATTCCAAACACTTCAACCAATCGTAGAACATCGGCCCTTCTCCACATTATATTTTCACAAGGCACAAGGTCAATCAAATCCCTGAGGGGTTAAATCCAGATTGAATTTATTACCAGAGCATTTAGGAACTATGACTGTCATTTTTGATAGCTGATGAGTATTATCTACTTCTTACATTTTCATTGAAATTGAAATTGTGAAGAGAGTTGAGCAAAAGGTATGAGATATATTTTTTTATTCGTCTTCACGTTCATCTTGATTGTTCCCTTTCGTTCTTTCTGTGGAAGAATACTGCGAGAGCTTTATTCACCAAACAATTGAAGAAATTGACTCACTTACACTTTATATCCCTCTAGTCTGCGTTATTTTCAGTTCATAGCACTCTCAACCAACATCTTCGAATCCTCCCCGCCTTGCATGAGATAACTCTCGGATCAAACGTTTGTTTGGCATTGAATTGCATCGAATTTCTCTTTCATAAGCTCCGCACAAAAGAAGTTATAAGAAGGCAGAGTTTGTTGTCCTCAACACATTTCACTTTGAGTAATCTCTCCACTCCATATCGATTCTAACCCCCACCCATCATGTTGGCACTTCGATCTCGAGCAGCTGTTGTTGCGAGAAGAGCACGCACTGCTACTAGCAAATTCCCTTCCTCTTCGACTGTGAGATCCCTCCCACAAGCTACCACCGCCATCGCTCTTTCATCCAGACGTCAATACTCTGCGCCTGCTACAGATAGTTTTTCAACTCGTTCGACCGTTGTTCAACTCCTCAGCAACATTGGCTCCAAGCGCGAAGTTCAGCAATATCTCTCACATTTCAGCTCCGTGTCTTCTCAACAATTCGCAGTTATCAAGGTTGGTGGTGCGATCATTACTGAACATCTCGAATCTCTCACCTCTGCCCTTGCGTTCCTCAACCATGTGGGTCTCTTCCCAGTTGTTGTACACGGTGCGGGACCACAATTGAATAAGTTATTGGAAGATGCGGGCGTGGAACCACAATTCGAAGAGGGCATTCGCGTTACAGATGGAAAGACATTGGCAGTTGCGCGAAAGCTGTTCTTGGAGGAGAACTTGAAGTTGGTTGAGAAGTTGGAGGAGATGGGAGTCAGAGCGAGACCCATCACTTCTGGTGTTTTCGGTGCGGATTATTTGGACAAGGAGAAATACAATTTGGTTGGCAAAATTAACAAGGTTAACAAGGGTCCGATTGAAGCTGCTATCAATGCGGGATGTCTGCCTATTTTGACTTCTATGGCTGAGACTCCTGAGGGTCAAGTTTTGAACGTCAATGCTGATGTTGCGGCTGGAGAACTTGCCAGGGAATTGCAACCATTGAAGATCGTTTACTTGTCTGAGAAGGGCGGACTTTTCAATGCGGATACCAACGAGAAGATTTCTGCCATCAACCTCGATGAGGAATATGATTCTTTGATGTCACAATGGTGGTGCAGATATGGTACCAGATTGAAGATCAAGGAGACTAAGCAATTGCTTGATCTCCTCCCAAGATCTTCCAGTGTTGCTATTATTCACCCAGCTGATCTTCAAAAAGAGTTATTCACCGATACCGGAGCGGGAACTTTGATCCGAAGAGGCAACAAATTAGCTACTGTCAGCGCTCTTTCCGAGTTCGAGGATATCCAGAAATTGAAGGATGTTCTTGTTCGAGATCGTGAAGGTTTGGATGCACGAGCTACTGTTGACAGATATGTTGACGGACTCAAGAACAAGGAATTCAAGGCCTATTTTGACGAGCCAATGGATGCTCTTGCAATTGTTCTTCCTCCAAAGTCTCCAAGTTCTCTCTCTAATTTGGCTACCTTTACTATTACTAAGGCTGGATGGTTGACTAACGTTGCTGATAATGTCTTCGCTGCTATTAAGAAGGATCATAGTAAGTTGGTTTGGACTGTTAAGGAGGATGATGAAAACTTGACTTGGTTCTTCGATAAGGCTGATGGTAGCTTGTCTAAGAATGGAGAGGTTATGTTTTGGTATGGAATTACGGATGGTAATGAAGTCAAGGATCTCATGACTGAGTTTGCCACTCACGGTAGATCTATGCTCGGGGATGCTAACCTTGAGGCAAGACTTCACCGTGCTGCTAGAGCAGCTACTGGAATGAGCGCCGCCATGTCTGGTCAGGGTGGTATCAGGCAGCAAGCCCGAGCTTTCTCTACTTCTGCTCGTAGACCTGCTGTCAAATCTTTGCGAAATTCCCGCTTCCCTGTATCAGGACGAGGATATGCTACAACTACCAATCCTAACCCTCCTTTTGGCAAGCAAAACTCATCCAACACTCAACCCGCTAAGGTTGCTTTGATTGGTGCCAGAGGATATACTGGACAAGCTTTGATTAGTCTCCTCAATGCTCACCCAAACATGGATCTTAGACATGTCTCATCAAGAGAACTCGCTGGACAAAAGTTGAAGGGTTATGAGAAGAGAGATATTACCTATGAAAACCTTTCCCCAGAAGACGTTCGCAGAATGGAAGAGAATGGTGAAATTGACTGTTGGGTTATGGCACTACCAAACGGTGTCTGCAAGCCTTTCGTTGATGCAGTCAACGAGGGCAAGGGTCCTCAAAACAGTGTCATTGTTGATCTTTCTGCCGATTATCGATTTGATAGCAAATGGACATATGGTCTTCCAGAATTAGTCAACAGATCCGATATTGCCAAGGCAACTCGAATCTCCAACCCAGGTTGTTATGCTACCGCAGCTCAACTTGGAATTGCTCCATTGGTCCCATTCCTTGGTGGTCAGCCAACCATCTTCGGTGTATCAGGTTACTCTGGAGCAGGTACCAAGCCATCTCCAAAGAATGATGTCGAGAATCTTACTGGCAACATCATTCCTTACTCTCTCACTGATCACATTCACGAACGCGAAATCAGCAACCAATTAGGTATTGAAGTTGCATTCATTCCTCACGTTGCAGTCTGGTTCCAGGGTATTCATCACTCTATCTCCATTCCTTTGAAGGAGAAGATGACTAGTAGAGATATTAGGAATCTTTACCAAGAGCGTTATGCTGGAGAGAAATTGGTTAAGATTACTGGAGAAGCACCAAGTGTTAAGAATATTAGTGGAAAGCATGGTGTAGAGATTGGTGGTTTTGGAGTACACAGCAGTGGTAAGAGAGTGGTTGTTTGTGCAACCATTGATAATTTGTTGAAAGGAGCTGCAACTCAATGTTTGCGTAAGTTTTATCTTTTTGTCAAAACGTTCTTGATCATGTTTTGCATTGATATGAAAGAAGTGGAAGCTAACATTGTGATAGAAAACATGAACCTCGCATTAGGATTTGCTGAATATGAAGGCATCCCACTTGATTAAATGCAATAGCCCAGGTCCTTTGAGTAAATGCATACAGGTAGTTTGAATTCCGTGTGTTTTTGCGCCCGAAGATTTAAAAAAATGTTGATAAAAGACGGGGAGGGGAGTAAAGGAGAAGAAGGAAGGAATTTTGGGATCAAGTTGATGTTGGGTGAAGCAAGTGGGGAAGAGCTATGGATGAATGCGTTGTATAAAGAAGGGTTTGGGGAGGATGGAGTAGAAAAGAAATTGGGGTGATTGGTGACGTGAGATGAAGTGATGAGGTAAATAGGTTACTTGAAAGATGGATGGCTTATGTTGTCATGAAGGAAAATTAGTTTTGTAGTGATAAATACCAATTTTGTTCAGTCAGTTGTTGGTTTTGAGTGCTCGTCTCGGGGATTCTAGGGGCATAATAAAGTGTTTGGGGCTGGTACATCTGAGTACATTTGAGTGACTTGTGACGTGTATGTTATTGGAAAGGAGAAGGAGATGGAGATATCGAGTTTTTTGCCTTTTAGTTCTCGTTACCTTTCGGGATGTAGCTATCATGACGTTCTAAATTATTGTCGTCTTCTGTTCATGTTATCCTTTTCTTTCTTTTCTGGAACTCTGAATACGTGAGTACGTAACCATTGGAGTTCGAGATGAATGTATGATTGCGTTTGTAATTGTCTTGACACTCATATTCGAAATATTGTATGGATTGGACGGATGACATGAGTAATGATGAGTGATGATGAGGATATAGTACTAGAGATATTTCTTCACAAAGTAACAAAGTATCATATAAATGCAGACGAATATTTCAGACGATTGGTACCCAAGTATATGATTTTATCAAACTACCTAGGTAGGTGTCTAATCTAATCATTCAAAGGTTGATTGTTAATGCTGTGGTACAGAGTAGGTTCATTCACCCCTCTTACGAGATTATAAATCTTCGCTTGTATCCTTCGACGCTGTTTCTCATTTTGATATCACGAATGAGTTATAAGTTATTAATTATGCAACCCAAACCCAAATCCTTACCCATAACCCTTTCACGCACAAGTCATCGTCCCCTGCAACCAGCCCCTGGAAAAAACAAAAGCATGCTCCTCATTCACCGGAGGCGGAACCGAAGACTGCACCACAAACGACGGACCCCTGCGCATATCCTGCGCACATTCAATCACCGCCTCCATGACTCTCCCCCCATACTCATACACCACCTTTCCCTCTCTCCCCTCCTCATCTATCGTAGACTTCTCATCCTCCCAATACGTCACATCGAACGGATACGAGAGCGTATCATACTCATGCACCTCCCACCGATTATCACGAAACATCGTCCATGTTTCCGCGTCAAATGCAGTTTTCTGCACAATTTGCACCATGTCCCCTATTTGCGCAAGCGTATCCGTTCGGTACATACTGGCCAGTTGGTCGAGTGTCCCGCGGAGATATAAGTGTTGGGATGCCCATGCGCCTTCCTGATATCGCGACGTCGCGAGCGCGTCGAATAGTTCTTCGCGCGGAATGGGGCCTAGTCCGCTATCCTGACTGCTGGGTTCCAATTCTTCGGGGAGGGAGATCTCGAATTTGAGATGGATTTTGGACATGTGGGTTGTGGTTACTGCGCGACAGAAACTGTACCATGCTTGTTCCCGCGTCATGTATTTGATGGCTTTTGTTTCTTGGGGAAGAACTGCATCTTGCTTTCTACATCTAGGACCGCTCTTAAACGTCACGTGGGATCCGGAAACCGTCTTGTGCTTGACGACCTTTTTCCAGCGGTGATCGATTTTCAAAACGAAGGTGGTGTGGTGGGGGATAAAACAGCCATAGGGGAAAATATTCATAACATCGGGTCTCTTTCTCTGCCATCCTATAACCTCGTCTCGAAGACCTTTGGTGCTGAGACGGAGAGCGTGGAAAGTATCGATAAACGATGGACTGATTTCGATTTCGGTAATGGACGCTACGAGGGCGTCGAAAATCATCCATCGCAATTCGCAGGGGATTCTTAGAAATGGTGGTAGTTTGGCGCGGGATGGCTTGGATCGAGAATGGTAGGAAGGAGTATTTCTCAAGGTGCGTTTCGATGACGATAAAACTGGGGATGGGGACTCGATAGTCGAATCCTGCTCGTCTTCGTCGTCGTGGATGTGCTTCACGGGAAGGATGGAGAATCTGGGTACGGAGATTAAGATATGTATACCTTGGTATGCATTATTGCTGGAAGTTCTGGAGTTGGATCCATGTATGCGAGTGTGGAATATAGATGACGTACCTATTGGAAAACTTGAAAAGTACCATTTTTATCTACTTTCAATGGGTACAGATGTAGTAATTGCTGTTTTATTAATCAGCAATAGTATTATTTTCGATTATCCTAGGCATTGATAGGAGGGATTAACTTACTTATTGGTATTGTGATATGAATGATCAAATGAATGTTCTCAAGTGTAAGTAATGCTACTAAAGTACTGAATGAGTGTTGATTTTGTTGTGATTACATCTTGTAGGATTAACGAGCACTGAGAGGGATTTGGTATTAATACTATTTGCAAGGGTGTCTTAAGGTAAGAACTAACCTGCATGCCTTTTTATCTCATTGGGGAAAGAACGTAACGATGGAATGGAATCATACAGGTGTAGATTCTTCATCCATTCCGAGAATAACATAAAGATACTCATTCACCCTATTGAGAAATATCAAGGTTCGAAATATAATCAAAATCGAAAAACACAGCTGGTGATTTCGATGCGGAGATATATCGATCGTAAACCAGGAACAAGTATCTCCTGGTATTAGCACTGTGAATGTTTCAACAAAAAGCGCGTTGTACACATTTCTTGAGAACATGGTATGGAATTTCGTTTCCTTTTTCTCTCCGCTTGGCTTATCTCCTGCTCAGGGAGTGAAGAGAAGTTTCCTTCTCTTTGCTACCCCCTATGCGGGAAACGGCTCTGGGGTTAGTGTAGGGTATCTGCGTGTGTGATATGTAGATCATGTGAATAGATCTTTAGATTTAGTGTAACTCTTTCCTGACAGTCCTGATATATAGTTCTTCATTCGGTTTGTGGCATATACCCACAAACGTGGATTAGACTCCGCGGGAGCACTTTTTGAATCCACGCTTGCGTACCCGGTGGTAAATCAAAGCTGTAGTGGGTAAACTGATACATTCAGACCCTCAAAATCTCAAAGTGGTGAACAAATCCGGAGTGCGGAACGAAGAGGGTTATCCTGGTAAATGGAGAGGTCAGAGAATGTGAAGTTTGTTTATTCGTTGTTGGGCGATTAGAATGAGGACCCTCTTCAAAGACTGGGTAAGTAGTTGATAGAGTTGGCGTCAGAAATCTTTGTTGAACTCTGATTTGAGGTCTTCGGCACCAAATTATGTCGTACCTAGCATATGAATACTCCGTCGTATATCACGTTGTCTAGGTAATCAAGACGAAATGGATAGTATCAAACAGACGTTGATTTTTGCTAAACACGGTGTGATGGCGGAAGTTCATCGCTTCTGGAAACCTGCTCACTCTGTCTAAAATCCTCATTGATCGTGATTACACCCTGGGGAAAAAAGAAGTTGCTAGGAGGTTACCGACACACTTCCATACCGTGTCTTGTCCACTTCAAAAATATTGTGTCAAATACCTCTATTCATTGTCTCGATCCAGGTGTAATCCACGTACGGGAGTATGGAAAGTAAGTGCCTTCGCTTCCGCACTGGCAAGGCTATGAGTCTCGTTTGTCCCAGATATAAGCAAGACATAGGTGTATTCTAGATTGATAAACGATAATGTCGCTCTTCGATCCTAGATTCTTGGGGATATTGCTAAAAATCTACGAACCAGCTAGCCGGGAAACCATGAAGACCGTAAATTTAGGGTGAACTTTCACAAATTTGTCTGATTCCTTGAGTCCATCAAATCTATCAAATCTTTCACTACCTATCGAACTCCTCCAAGCTTTATCAAAAGAATTTATTACACCACATTGTTTTACCTCAAAATCATACCTAGGCACTAGCACCATCCATCATACCTCGAAATGATCTCCCAGCAAGCATACTTCAACTACAACTGTCATCAGTAAACATACCAGACAACATCTCCTCAATTCCAACCCGTACCTACCTAACCTCCCAATCACAAACTCCAAAACAACTTTATACACCCCATTCCCCAAATTCCCCTCAAAAATCACTAGCTCCATCTGCCCACTCACTTAGCCTCAACCCTACTCCTCTAGCGTCCTCACTAACATTAGCTCGCACGTTTCTCAAACTAAAACTCTAGCCACAGTTAACCAACTAACTAACTAACTAACTAACTACTGGAACGACCCTCAAAACTTTTCGCTTCCTGTCATTAATTAGTAAAATATCCGGCCCTTTCTTAGTAGGAGACTAAATGATCTTTATTTCCCCCTAACAAGTTGTATCTATAAGCGATATCTTTCATCCACTTACCTGCATCGCTATATTTACATTCTTTTATTTTAGAAGGTTACTGTTTTACTCACGTTTTGTAAAGGAGGGATGGAGTAATTACCGAGTAATGATAAGTCAGGCTAGAATATAGGTATTGTGCGTTCAAACACCCCCTATCATCGTTGATGCTATTTGCAGAGGGAATACTAACTTCAATCTCGATACCTCTCTGCAACGAGCGATCACGATAACTAATCTTTTTGTAAATTCAAGAGGGAAAATCATAATAGATGAGGAACTAGTTTTTATGTTCGTGATTGTTAGAGCTCATGATTTAGATGCCGAAGTGAATGTCGCTTTAGTTTTCGAACCAGTCGAGAATGGAGCTTTATATTATCCACGGATTGTTGAGGGATCTTGTTGCAACAGAAGCTTCTTGAGAGGAAAGAATAGCTTGATTGTGAGGATGTGGTCTTGGAGGTGTTTGATATGGATATGTTAGTGAGAGGTTAGAGTGACGAGGCTGGACAGTGAGAAATTAATTGTCGATGATTGTTCTAGCGACCACTTCATATTCACCAAACAATCATTAAAGGAATGCGTATTCATTCACTCGAGTTCATAATCACATAGAAAAGAGAAGAAATTGTTCAAGAAGTGATTATTATGATTTCGTAAGTCATAAAACCATGCGTAAAACTATTAAGTTTCCCATGCCACCATCCTATCCCATCCTTCCATCCATCATATTCAGATAAAAGAGAACCCAAAGCCTAAACTGACAATCGTGTGAAGATAATAGAAGCTCCCCCAGTTACGCGGGTATGCCCAATCCTCGGGTATCGCAAATTCATGCCGCGTTCAGCGAGGGTATTATTGTACATGTGGTTTATTGGTAGGTCTTGTTTCCTCCCAAGGTCTTGGAACCATCAAGGTCGGCATCAACTCTTGGATCAGCCCTGTGAAAGATTGTTAGTATATGTTCATGAATAATATGGGATAGAACTGTGCTTACTTGTTCAACAAGTCGTTGTTGTGTGGACCAGCAGTGTTTTGAGCAGTTCCTGAGCCAGGAGTGGCGTGGGAACCGGAGACACCGAATGCAGAGTGTCCAGTGGAAGCTCCGTGGCGGTTACCAGTGCTGCTCAAATCGCTATCGACTCTTGGGTCGGCGGCGTTGGCAATGTTCGAGTTGTGTGGACCAGCATTTGTGCTGTGGGAGATTCCTCCACCGAAACCAGTTCCTCCGACAGTGTTGCCAGCGGTTGTACCTTGGTGGTGAGTACCGGTTGAGCCAGTAAGACCACTTCCGTAAGTATCTTGGGTGCCATAACCAGCAGAAGTCTTGTTAGGAAGACGGTTTCCATCCAAGTCTGAATCGACTCTTGGGTCAGCAGCATTGGCGAGAGACGAGCTGTGAGGTCCGTGGGAGCCCTCAGAGTGACCAGTATGTGTTGTACCTGGAATGTGGGTGCCGGTGGTGCCGGTTGTTCCAGTGTGTCCATAAGCTTGGTGGCCAGTAGTGCCTGGGACATGGGTGCCAGTGTGAGTACCAGTGTGAGTACCAGTTGTGCCATAGGCTGCATCTTGAGTGCCATAGCCAGCGGAAGTCTTGTTTGGAAGACGGTTTCCATCTAGATCGGAGTCGACTCTTGGATCAGCGGCATTGGCGGCAGCGGAGCTGTGGGGTCCGTGAGAGCCCTCAGAGTGTCCAGTGTGTGTTGTGCCTGGGATGTGAGTGCCAGTGGTACCGGTAGTGTTGTGGGTGGTACCTGGAACGTGAGTGCCAGTAGTACCGGTGGTGTTGTGTGTGGTGCTAGAGGTGGTGTGATCCTTTTCCTTGTGGGAACCTGAGGCTGTTAGATTGGGGCATCTAGACCAGAAAAGAGAGTAAACACATACCGATGTGAAGGACATCCTTGACCTTTTGTACAGTAGATTCTCCAGTCATTTTGAATGTAGTATATTGTTTAAAGGTTTAAAATAAAAAGTGGTTGTGGTTTGTTTTGATTTGAAGTTGTTTTCTGTTGCTTTGTATGTTTGTTGATGATGGAAGAAAGAAAGAGGATGTGGGAGGTAGAAGGCAATCCTTATATAATAAATCCGACGACCTCAAATGCTTCAAGACCGATGAATGAAGAGGCAACAAACCTGTTTGTGACGTCACATTGAGGGAGGTACCCAGGTATGGGAAAGTTCCAATCCAACAAAGAATGCACTCCCACTTCCACTTCCCCCTTTGAAAGGCAAAGAAAGGCAAAGGGAATGGAATTGTGAGACCAGCTTGCTGCCGTCATAACAAGGAATAGTTGTACCAAAGCATGCAAGTAAGTATATTGACCTATTCCTGACCTCCGTACCCCGCAAATCCCCGTTTTTTAACAAACTTTCAGGTTTTCTGTAAGGGGCCAAGCTAAATTGATTAACTTTTGCAAATTGTGACCTATCAAATATATCTCAGTTAGTCAAAGTGGGCCATCCCACACTGTCAAAAAAAGTACAGTACTTGGTACCAAGGTAGACGCGCAAGAAATGAACTACCAGTAGAAACCTTTGTGGGCTTACGTATAGTATTATTAGAGTTTGTAAGACTGGAAATTACCTGAATTCCTTTTCTTATTAACCTACTGAGCTTCTTAATTTTGAATCCCACTACTCACTTAGTATTCCCGCCATCCCACCATCCCATTATCCCACAGAGCCACACTGCCAGTGTCAGTGTCAGTGCCACAACTACCAACCCGGGGAACATACACATACACATCTCCAACCCCAAACCAACTTTTTTCGTCTGGATTCTTGCTTGAATGAACTTGGTAGGTTGGGTCGTACCAGGCAATGCCCCATAAATGCCAACCTAATCTAAAGTCGTCATAGCATATGTGGCGCAAATTATTCTAACGTCATTGAATCATGTGGCTGTAGGGCCGACCAATCATTAGTGTAGATCTGACAATCGGTAGTTTCAAAAACCTGCCGCTAGCAAATGTGGCTGTGCAAATCTTATTATTAAGTGGACACTTGGACACAATCACCCCATTCCAAGACCAATGTTGAAATCCCTATGAAATATGTCGAAAGCATGACGTCTGAAGGTCGATAGGGAATAGCAAGGCAATCGCATGCTAAAGCACGTGGTTATCAAATGGCATCTTCTATCTTCTAGGTAGTAGATGATAGAAATGATGTTGCATCTCCGTAAATCGTATATGCACGCCTCTTTGCTTTGGGAGTGCAATTTTTTGATGCTGTATTGCTAGCAATTGAGCGATTGCATCATAGCTCAAAGAGTGTTGCACATCTCATCTAAAGTTAGGTTGAGATAACCATTCGAACGACTTCAAAATCATCTTCTGTGATCTTTGGCGGTACTGTAAGCTTAAGCCACGGTCTGGAGGATAGCGTTTGCAGAGAATCGATGCTCGAATCACGTGAACAATCGGTTTCGGAACTGTGGCGTTGGCCCATGGTTATCATGCTTGCAAATTGTTGTTGGTTCTTCCCAACGCAATTTCTTCCAACTTTTCAAAAGCTGGAATTCTTGAAATTCCTTGCTTAGAATTTGATTGAATCAGTGCAGCTCTCAAACTTACGTTCTCAGTTCGATACGCTTGAGAACTTTTCAGACGTGGCAATAATGTGAAGCTCGATCTGAAGCTCTGATCTAATGCTGATCGATCGTCAACTGATTGGTTCTATGAGGGAGTCGGTAGCACTTACATATGTCATCTGAAGGTTCCTCTCATTAATTGTCATTACTGCTTTACTCTGTTACTCGGTCACAGTCGTCTTTTTGTCTTCTCTTCGCTGGTAATAAGAAGAGCCTGCGAGGTACCCACACAACATATGAAACACGAGTCTTAGTAGGCGAGTGTGCTAGTTGCGGCACTTCTGATTTGTTCTTATCGACAACAGACATCTAGATCTCTCGCTGTGTTTTCGTTCTGTTTCTATATATAAAGTTTTTCATGTCTTCTTCGAGCTTGTCCAGATGAGGAAAATTTTCCGAATGCTTCGATCTAAACACCTGTCCAAGCACTCTATGCAACTTTAAATCACTGACCATTGTTCAAATGACCTTGTCAAAATATACTTGGGATGATTGCTTCAGTCGATGATCGACAACATAGTCTCATCCAATAAGTCCATCCTCACATATTTTCCTGATTGAGCAACGGCGTAGCCTGGCTGATATATAACTTAGGTTATCACCTCGGGGGTGTCCAATTAATTCAATTCATTTATGCCAAACGAGAAATCTCGTTTGTACTTTTACTGTTTGCTATTGTTCACGATAGCTTATTGGCATGACCTCGAGATCTGACCAACGTAAACCTTACTTGGTAGCCATGCTGCGGCTTTCTCGTACCTTCATGCGAGAACATCTGGAATTCCACAAGGGATTCCATTCAGATGCCTAATTCCATATACTCTGGAACGTCAATATGCACTGCAAATTTGGGTCTTGATCTGAAAGTTTGTTTTCGCGGGGAAACAATTAGGAGGATGGGGCTGGATGGCATAATTAGTTGCGCTCAGACCTTTGCAATGTTGATCGTCTCAAGCCATATTCGTCTCCTAATTGTCTCACATGAACAATAATTACATAAGGTTTCCTCCAGCAGAGCAGCCTTATGATTTTCTTGGAATATTCTACGTGTTTCATGGATGGTTTGGCATATGAATTTGATTTTATTTCACCCTCTTAGTAGAACCACCCTAAATTATTGGCAAAGATTGGCATTACATCTAAGTACAATTCAATCCCCATACCTATTGATCTTATCGTAATATTGTCTCATTCTCTATCTATCATGACTGCTTGCTAATTCGCTTTAATTGGCATCCGCATCACGACGAAATAATACTTCTTCGTCTCCTGATAATACGCCTTCCTCATGGAGTCGACAAGTAACCTTGAAGATGTTTCCATAGGTAATTGCCCTGAAAGCCAAAAATTTGTACAAAATACTAAATCATTTCAGCATCCCGAATACTTCTGATATGTTGGCCTCTGTACGGGATATCTGGAATCTTAATAATGCTGAGATTAATCGCTAAAGCCAAATACCATCTCGCATTTGCTCTGGAGGATCTTTTAGTTATACTTGCTATGGTATGCAATCATTTCTCTTTCTCTAGCACTATAATAACATGATCCAAAGATTTCTGGCATTTGCCACATATCACTCAATTCTTGGGGTATAACCTTTGGATTAGGAAGACACATTGTGTTTCTTACCGAGACCCAAGCCGCGATGGCTATAAGAGCTGAATTCATCGGAGAGCCTTTCGGTAAGTCCCCTTCGAATTGTCGAGTTCGTCCATCGCTAAAACGTTTGCAGGTATCATATCACCAACACTCGGCAGAATATCCTTCGCCGTTTACCTCCTACGAATACTTGGACATCAGCAAAATATAAGACGGTTTCTTTACTTTCTCATTGCCCAAAATGCCATTATAAATTTAATGGCACTCATCCAAATATTCTTCGAGTGTTCCAATATTTCTTACAATTGGGATCGTGTTGGACATGAAGACCAATGTTGGACCATGGGAACACAAGCAGCTATTGGCTATTTCCAAGGATCATCCAGTTCCTTAACCGATCTCGCTCTCACAATTTTACCGGTTGCAATGGTTATCAATCTTCATATTCCTTTGCATTTGAAGTTTCTTTTATCATTTCTATTGGGAGTCAGCCTTTTGTAAGTTTCTTTTCCGGGATATCAAAACTTAGCTAATCATCTTAGTGCTTTCATTGCGGCCGTCATCAGGACCTACTGCACAATGGGGAATAACGATGATATTACCTGTAAGTCCAAATAGCCTGTATACATTGAACATTCAAATCTAATCGATATAATAGTCACTTCGGTTACCTATATAGTATGGTGCGCAGTAGAAAACTGCACTGTCATTATAACCTCCTCAATACCATTTCTCCGACCTCTCTTCCGGACAGCTCCCAAACCATACATCGAAGTAAAAAATAGTCCGGCCCCAAAAATTATGAACCACAATGAAATCGAGTATAGAAGTTCGAGAGAAATACTCGTTGATCCTGAAGCCAACCGGGAGAAATTAGATTACATGGGAGATAAAAAAGATGATGTCAAGATCGATGCTCATTCGCTTGTGTAGCTTGGATAGAAAATTGGCGTATAGAATAGAGGCTTTGGGATACATGATTAAATGATTTATGATTTGTATATTATTGCGGTGGAGTTCATGGCGCTTGGCGCTGGGTTATCTCTTGTTCATTGATAGAGGTCATTTTCTCGACATACTGTCAGTACAGTACTGTCAAATGACACTTCGAATCATGCTAGTGCCGTGTCGGCTTCATTTAAGCTTTACTTGCTTCAGATATCCTTTTGATGTCGAAGCTTTCTTGAACATAGATTACCATTATGGAAGACCGAGTTGAATATAAAAAGAATCTCCCCTAGAAAAATTTGCATTAGTGTGTCTATCAGTGTTGTATTAGTATTTTCTGTATTTTAAATGTCAATTTAGGGGTACATATCGATACCCGTATTCATGAGACTATTCCAATAATTATTAATGGAATTTTCTTCACCGAAGGAAGTATTCGATATCTCAATGCTGTTGAATTTTGCTAACATATCGAACCATTCTAAGTTACATATTTTATACTGGGAATGTATCTGTTTTGAACGAACCTTATAGTTTAAAAGGAAAGGCGGGATCAAAACATATGGATTTCAGCTCAAAATCACTTGTATCATATCTGTCGTACAGCCTCTTTTATATAACATCTACAGACACAAATATCGTTAACCATCATACATATTAGTATATACATGGTACTCTTCATAACAGCAATAGCAATACTATTGTATACTAATCACAACACCGATATTCATCAATTGACCCTGATTCAGGAAATTGGTCTTTGGTTTAGTATGAATCAATGAAGCAAATAACCGCACATCATATTGATTAGCGCGGCTGCAAGTTAATGATAGACCAGTCTTCGCATATTTAAAACAAGCCGTTTCTTGAAAATAGAGTGATTTTGAGAAGATCATTGCAGATTGAAAATTCTGCTGATTGGGACCTCGTTGTATCTTTCTTTGATCCTGTGAAGTATTTGTGTATAATGACACGCTACCTACCCCGGAAATTATTTTCCTATTTCTTCATCTCTAGTTATCAAGTGCAAGTGTGTCTCTTGATTTACTCTTCTATTGTGAATCTATATACTTGTGATATATACTGCGAAGAATTTCCCTATTGGGATTTCTGGAAATGTATAAACCATGTCGACTTTGTCCATCTCGTTCTTGGTAATCATCACAATCCTAATGGAGGTATCTATACTTCCCGTGGATGTAACTTTGACAGTCAAGATTGCCATGGATTTACCCTTGTTTATCTGGTATATTCTATGCATCATGAACCTTGGAATGTGCAATCAGTTTCTATCATACATCTACTGTAGAGCTTTGAATCAATACTCAATCGAAGACCAATGTTTTGAGAAAGTTTCTTATCCTGGCGCTGTGCTTTGATAATTTATATTGGCAATGAGTAGTCTTTGGTCAGTACCCTTATTCCAACTTCGAAATCGGACGTTATGAACATATAACTATTTTTGATCTTGATTCTTCACACACGAATCGAAATAAACAATGGTTACTGTTATTCTTTCTGTTAGCAAGCCGTGTCGAATATTTTCATCGGCCACTTTCACTCTCTCCTACTGAATATGCCCAGCTTGGCTTTTAATTGCAGAGAATTCATGTGGAGATTGGTTGACCAACTAAAATATCAATAATTTCTACACGTCTAGCACGAAGGTTGGCTGCAAGTTATACGGCAGCTGGAGTTCGATATGTGTCCCAGTGAAGATTGTTTGTTTCTTAAGTTATTGTGTCGTAGAAATTTTCTGATGCCAGGACCTCGGAAAACTTGACGTGCAATGCTATCATCAAGAAACGAAGTTCTCTGCCTTTCAATGCAAAGTTGATACAGACATACAGTTTACACACAGAAAGCAATGCACCCATGCTGGTTCAGAACCATAGAGGTGGATATATCTCTAGCAGTGAGGTTTCATATGGAAAGTGGCAAGACTTATAGCGATAAGCCAGGAGAATAGGGAAGAGGGAATAAAATACGTCGCCATTGACCATTGCAACATGCAATGCTTCTTCCAGTGTTGTAATTAGTATTTTCCGTATCTTGGATACACTCTATTTCAGTGATGTGTATTAAACTTTTGAAATATATTTAATAATTATTATTAGATTGAATATCACTGATAGTATTCAGGATAGTTAGAATATTGAATATCACTAGTAATATTCCGAAATATGGAAATTTGCATATTTTCATTTGAATGTTACATATTTTGAATAAATTTAAGCTTAATATGGAAAGAGGTTTCTCAAGATATATAATATCCAAGTGAAAATATATAAATTCCCGTATTTAAGTATATCTTAAGTATAATCCTTTCATACAATACATACAAACATAAATATCATTAACTATTATATGTACTAGTGTACGTATTGTATTTCTGATATCAGCCACAATAATACTACTGTATAGTAATTACAACACTGGCTTCTTCTGTTCCCTCTGCATTCTCAAACTTTCCGGTTAAAAGAGAGACAATCGACTTGGTCGTCATCTTCATCTTTGTTTTTATTCTCTTCATACGCATGTCTCGTTTTTTCCCTTTGGATATCCATGAATCTAACAAATTCTCCAAAGTTTCGAGGGAAATACTGCAAAAATGATAATACTCTTAGTGCAGCAGACTTAGGCACCCCTATCCCACCTGGGGGTCTCAGTAATACTAGATTCGCAACTACCTGCTAAGAATATTTCGTTACATTCTGTGAATTCAGGGGTTCATCGGTAAGAGGAGCACTTGAGAGCTATGGCCAGAGTCATACGATTATCGAGATTAGGGGTACGTACGACGTTTAGATTTGTGGAGAATATGGCAGGGTATCACGGGCAGTTATTGGCTTCAGCTTATAGATGAGGGATTAATCAGAGATGGAATACAAGGAGAGTGAGCGCCAGGGCATTGTTGAGCTACGATTTGTGATTGATTGTTGCAGAAGCACTTGAATAATCAGGGCTTATCTCTTACTTGATCAAAAGTATATCATTTGAATCTCCATCTCTTATGATAGTCATACTCTATTACCGATTAGATCATTCTATATGTGAATGAATCAAACACATAGCGTCTTGCCATGAATCCTTCAAATTTCGCTTCGCTGAATAAGTATTTACCAAGATCTTCTTCCCCAAAAAGCTCGCCAAGAATCCCTCCAATAAAAGTACACTTTCTTCTCCCATCAACCGCCCTCAGACGCTTAGTTTGCCAAAGAGCCTCCTGCTCCGTTCTGTTGGCAATAGTAGTTCAACTAAACATAGAAATTAGTCTCTTATTGTATATTTCCCAAAGTAAGGGCGGTTTCATCATATTTTTTGTGAGAAAGAGAAAACTTGGGTTGAAGCTCACCTCATCACCACCAATATGCGAACCAGCGGATTCACAATGTGGAACACCAGTTGTAATCATGGTGCAGTCTGGGCATGTATCCCATTGTTCTGAACCAGTGTTTCTGTTATAGTAGTTTGTGCAGGTTTTGGCGGTAGCATCAGCGTTGTACACATACTAGGTTATTGGTTAGTTCTATTTATAGATATGGGTTGTGGGGGATGGGGTGAGGAGACTGGAACATACGACATCGCTTTTGGTGTCTACGCAGATGCCATTGGTGTGAAGGTCAGCGAGTGTGAAGCTGGCAAGGGAGAGGAGAGCGATGGTCTTGAGAATGGAAGGCATGTTGATTGTAGAGAAGTGAGATGAGTAAATATGTGAAACAAAGAGTGAGGGTTAGATATCTGATTAAGAAGTAGAGACGATTGAAAGATTGATAGAATAGAAAGCTGGGGAGAAGATGTATGTAGATTCTGGAGTATGGGATATATAGATATAATAGGGCTGGGATAGCCACTGGCGCAACAAGCGTTACAGAAATAGACCGATATTAAACCTTACGGTATACAAACCTCCCAAGATAGATAGATAGCTGTATACCAACAAAGGTATCACAATACTCTATTTGCTGCAGTTACCACGAGGTTTAAACTTTCCAAGAAGCTGAATATGTTTGGAACAACTTCGGCGGGGTTATTCCGAAATGACATTGATGGGGTTTTACCAGAAAATCATGCACCAAATCCCCAGTTCGGTACCGATCAACCATCCATCATGACGGCATCCTTGGTACCCTTGATGGCACCTTGCGCTTAGCAGGCATGATTACATGATAGAAACGTGATTGCGTTACTCATCCCTATCAATATTGCTGGTAAACTTTAACTTTATCAAGACAAAAGTATGAGACGGAATGCTTAATTGAGAAGACACTGACCCAAATAACGCCATCTCATTAAAAAAAGGACATGATCGCTGTCGAAATTTCCCCAGAATGGTTATTATAAGGAAGTATGTTCCAGGTTTCATCACAAACTCTAATTGATTAAATGCCAAGAGAATAAACTTCGGTCCGCAGGGCGGAACATGAGGCTTAGAAAATTAAAGTTTGGAATTGTTCTCCATAAATGAAGATTATCGTGAATTCATAAGAGATGAAACGGTGAAAGGAGACGATCACGCTATTTTCGGTTGCTGCCGTGAAATTACCATATCATGCGGTCATCTCGACATGAACTTTGCATTATGGAGATTTTTCGGATGCATCTTTGGAAAAAGCTTATTCGTTCCAGAGGAAACTTTTATTGGTCCATGGGCGGGCACGTTGATGATGATTGGTGACCTTGTGAGGATTGAGAACTACGGGGGATATGTAATTGCCCTATCTTGGGTGTTCATCCCAATCTACCTTGAAAGTTTGAAGGTTGTCAAAGTGGAATGAACTATCCATGAGTCAATCGTGTCGAGGGAGAGATTCGGGATATCTCCACGGTGAAAGAGTATATGAAGTCTCCAACTTCGCATCAATGACTTAGAAAAACCATCCAGCCTCAGTCTCTCTCTTTCTATCTCATTGAAACTTCTCGAGTCCACAATTAATACCTTCAAAACTTCAAAATGTATATTACTTCGCTTCTTTCTAGCCTCTTGTTGAGCTCCACCATCGTGGGAGCAGCTACAATCCCCCGCAACTTGGATGAGTCCAAGATCATTCTCTTCGGCGAGAATGGCCGCACAGAAGTCATGGACAAAGCCGAGTTCTGGAAGCACCACCATGGTTCCAACATCACTCAAGCGCCTGGTCCTCTTGTAGGATACAATGGAACCTCATCCTCCAACAGACCCTCAGGTCACTACCCATCATCATCTTTGGCCAAGCGTGGTTGCAAATCAGCAACCGTCGTTCGCGAGAACCCTGATCAAAAATTCTTGAACTGGGACGTGCCTATGTCCTCCGTCGTCAAGGCAGGAGAAACCACTGCCACCGTTGCCGTTACAGAAGGATACTCAATCGCAAATGCTATCGCCGTCACAGCTAGCGCTACATTCACCCTTATCAAAGACTTCCTCCAAACCACTTATGGTATCACCTACACAGAGACATGGACTTCCACCTACACTGCTGCCTACACATACACCGTCCCAGCTGGCAAATACGGAGCCGTCGTTTCCAACCCTTACACTCTCCGAAAATCTGGCTACATTGACATTGGATGCATTGGTGCCGCCGCAGAGACTGATACTTATCAAGCTGATAGCTACACAAGCCAGGCTTATGGAGGATTGAGCTGGGTTTCTGGAACTATCAGTCTTTGCACCGGAGACACTTACCCACTCCCAGCATGCATTGGCAGTGGTGTTATCCATTAGGAGGAAAATGAGTTTGTCCTTGTAAAATGGTGGCTTAATACTAAGGGTTCTGTTGGAGCCTGTTAACAGAATGTCGTATGTACAATTAGAAGAAGGAAAGGGATGTGCCAGTTTGCATGAGAGAGATAAATTAGGATAATGCAAGACTTAATGAAATGAATACCCCGTGTCTATCTTTCCCCGCGATGCAATCTTTGATGTGAACTTCATAGCATTTCTCTACGATACCGACCCGAGGATTTGATGGAAAGATGCATAGATTGGCTGAGAAGCATTCACGCAGACATGTCGTACCTAGGTATGTGAAGGAATGATAAGATACCGGAAAACCTGCTTCCGCATAGTAAGTCTAAAAATTCTGACCGACATTTTGGATGTAAGCCCTACATAGTTTCAAACACTGCAGCATTCAAAGTGCACTGAGGATGTCAAGAACTTTAAATCGTTTAATTAAATTCTGAGGTCCAAACCTCTTAGTTGTCGGACTACAGTCTGCACTCTTGGAGACCATGGAGAAGCAAAAAATAAAGATAGCCATAAATTCAGTAATCCCAACTCTGTAGGGAATCATATGTGAACCATGTAAACCTTCCACCAACTCCATGCCTACATACAATATAAACACCATTTTACCCATCCCGAAATATCTAAGTTGTAATTATGAAAAGTGTAATCCTTCCTCATTGAATGCAAACAGCAATCGTAGGAAGTCGTTCTCATCGCATTTTCCAGCACGGGTGTCCGCCAATTCAGTTACATCCTCTAGAACCTTGCGTATCTTCTCTCGAACGAGTTCTGCTACTCGAGTTTTGGGTACTTTGCTCTTGGTTTTAGGCTTATTGGTTCCCTTGAGTTCCTGAAAGAAAGATGGCATTTCTTCATCAAAAACCTCCTCGCCTTTTTCCACATCCATTCCTCCCCATTCTTCTTCCCCCTCCTCGGCAATTGGGGCATCGTCCAGATCCATATCCTCGTCTTCATCTTCGACTGGGGTTTCATCAAGAGCGATATTGTTCGTCGAGCAATAAACTCGATAATTCCTCTCACACATTGCAAGTACTTGCTTCATTCCGAGCCAACTAGCCCTCATAGTTCTGTTCTTTCTAACAAAGCATATTCTAAGCATGCCATCCCATTCTTCCCAACTAACTCCTGGACGCTCTTTGCCTGTTTTGGGCTCAATTCGAACAACAGAAGACTCGACCTGTGGGGGTGGTCTGAAATTATTTTTGCCAACCTTCATAATGTGTGTAATTTTGGCGAAGAATTGGGCATTGACAGACAATCGGCAGTAAAGTGAATCACCTGGGCGTGCAGTAAGACGGAGAGCGAATTCGCGCTGGAACATGAGAACACTGCATCGGGGTGGGTTTGGCAGGGAGAGGAGTTTGAAGACAAGTGGTGATGAAATCTGTTTGAGTGTTAGATCTTCTAACAAATCTGAGCAAACGAAATGGAAAAGTGCATACCTGATAAGGAGTGTTACTGATGCACACATCAAAATGTGGCAGCTCAGTCTTAATCACATCACCCAAAAGGACTTCCAATCTTTTCTGTTCTGGCTTTCCTTGTACTCTCTTTGTGACTTCTGCAGCCATTCTAGGGTCTACTTCCACAGCTATGACTTTCTTTGCGCTTTCTAATATCCTTACAGTCAAATTTCCTGTACCTGGACCGACTTCGAGGACTGTATCTGTAGGTTTGAGGTTCGCCTTCTTCACGATAGCTTCTGCGACACCAGGATTTTTAAGAATATGTTGTCCATAGTCTTTGTTGTGCTTGAACGAATTGGTTAATGCAGCAGCCTTTTCATAAGGTGTACCGGCAGCGGCAGAATTGCGCTTGCCAGTCTTTGCTTTAGGCATGTTGAAGATTTGTTGTGTGGAGAAGATAGTCGAAATGTAAATTTTGGCAAAATAAATTTGTTCGTCGCCTTATCGGCTGGATCGATAACGATCACGTGCCGTGGAGAAGCCTATACCATCTCTCTAGAGCTAGTACTACTGGTTAATCACATAAGCCAATCAGAATCGAGACGTCGTTATTGATGATCGAGGGAAAGCTTGTGCCTCGAATTCAAGGCTTATCAGCGTAAAGTATCTCGGTATGTAATCACCGAAGGAGATTTGGTGATAACATTTCTGCGCCCCATCACAAAAATACTTGTCAACAGCATCTTCAAGATACAGCCCAGCAGCGACCTTTGGAACCATATAAAGAGAGAGTTTCTCTCCATATGAGTAATTGTACTCAAAATTGAAGCAGTAGTTGAAATCACCTATTCAAAATGCTCTTCCTCTAAGCAGCTGCTGTTGTATACTGCCAGAGACGAAAACAATCTCTGGTGAAATAACATTGGATTGCTTACGCTTTGGGGAGTGTTCATATACAATACGAAATCTTTATCTAAAGCTAATATAACATGGTTTGTGATGTTGTTCACAAGCTCGACAATCTCACATAAATAAATATTGATTATATCCCCTCCCTCCCATCCAATCCCTCGATCCCGGCCTCAATCCGGTCGTCAACCTCCATTCTTCCAAACGCCCTCTTGACCTCTCCTTCCCAGTTACTCCACGCAACAATAATCCATTCCAGTGCACCAACAATATAAAGGGCGATACACTGACCCACCCACAGTCCCCCCAATCCCCATCCATGAAACGCCAGCCATATACCCAATGGCAGTGCACCGCAATAATAACTAATAAAATTGACTGCGGCACCAACATGCTGTCTCCCCATACCTCTCAAACTTCCCCCACAACTCCCATTAAGCCCATCTGCTATTTGAAATAAAGCAACATACGGCATGACCTCAGCGGTTAACTTGATAACCCTCAAATCATCGTTGAATATCCTGGCGTAGAAATTCTTCACACTCATAAGAACAATCAAAACTAGTAGTCCCATAATCATACTTAGCCAAGCCGCCACATTCGCCGCTCTAGCTGCTCCTTTTGCGTTTCTTGCTCCTAGCAAATTTCCAACGCGTGAACTGGCTGCTACACCGATACCAAAGGGTATTGTATTCATCACTTGATCGGTCGTCATAATGACACTTTGGGCAGCCAAAGGGATAGTACCTAGTCGACCGGCAGCCAAAGCGACGATTTCAAAAGCCCACCATTCGGTACCGACGTGGATAACTCCGAGAAGTGCAAGACGAGAAAACGTTCCGAGGTTATGAAGTGATTGGATGGTGAAACCGCCCCAGCATTGAGATCCGGTTATGAAGCGGGAGTAGAGAACTAGAAGGAGAAAGGAGAGCCAATAGGAGAGACCGGTAGCGAGCGGAGCGCCAATGAGACCTAAATTGAAGGTGTGGATGAAGAGGTAATTGAGACCGGCGGAGAGGGGGGAGGTTATTAAAAGGACGTAAGTGCCTGGCCGCATGATCTCTGTACAAAAAATTAGAAACTGGTAACAGTGAAGGGAAGTAAGTGGGAAGTATTAAGTGATACCTTGTGCTTGTAGATACTTCTTCATAGCTTCGAAGTAAATATATCCTAATCCACCTGGAATCAACGCAGTCAAGAACCTAGCACTATCCACACAAATGTATTCTTCCTGTCCCAACAATCTAAAAATAGGAGCGGAGCAAGCCCAGAGTATAGCAACTGGTATGTAAAAAGCTGTTAAAACAAAGAAACCTCGCTGTAACAATACACCCAAATCGTGCGGGTTTTTACTTCCAGTGAACGAAGACGATGCCAATGTATCTAGAGCAGTCGTTCCGCCAAGCGCGATGAGCCATGCCGTAGACATTGCAAACATGTAACTGAAAGCTGCAGTCGCTAGAGCTTCAGGACTTAATCGTCCAACTATCAAGACCGAGATTGTTTGGAGAGAGTTCTGCAATGCGTATGCGAGGATGACAGGAACCGAGCCTCGCAACAGGAGTAGAAACTCGGTAAGCCACCTTTTGGCTGGAGTTGTATCATCGTCCTCTAGCTCGTAGGTCTCTCCTACGTCGGTAGATCGGGGGAGAAGGGAAGATTGTTCGTTTGGAGGTGTGGATGTTGGCGAAGTATTTACTGAAGGTCGGCAGACCTTCGGAAGCCATGATGACTTGGAATCGTTTTGGTCACTCATCGTATACAGCCACCTAATTGAGTACCAGTAGGTCTATAGAAAAAAGCAAATGAAGAACAAATTTACTACTGGCCCATTTCTCGAAAACGAAGGCAAAATATGAGATATATGAGAAGGTGGGATGGGGAATAACCACTGAGCATCACTGCCTATTTGGTGTGGAAATTGAAATGCATGTTTGATATCGGGATTGCCACCGATTAACAAGATGCAATGACAGAATATTTGCATCAGAACATCTGGAAACAGAAGGAGAGAAGATACCGTACAAATCAACCTACACAGATATGCAGGTACATCATTACCATTTGACAAATTAACGGACGTAAGAAGTACCTCATCTATGAACTGTACAAACGCCGAGGGGATCAAAACTTATCCATCATAGATTTGTCAAAGGGTTTAAACCAAGGATATACAAGTAATGGAACACGGGGACGGAAATATGCATCGCTGAGGCTTCTTGCAGCTTCGTTTGACGCCAAAATGCATGAGCAAGCTTGAAAGATGCTATTGAGGCATTTGTAAATCCATAGATAGACATACAAACGAAAATCAAGGAAATTCGTTGGTTGACGTGAAGATACATATAGATTGAGTGTCGAATGAGTACAGGAATTCTTATCTGGCCATGGAAGAAGGATTGCAGTTGTTATCTTGTCGCTTCTCGTAATAGCTTCATCAGAGCTTCGCACGTGATGAGCCGGCGATAACGCATTGAAAACGATTATGCTGACTTTCTGTGTTGACAAATGCCGAAGGTTAAAAGGAACTAGATCCAGCGATAGATTAAATTGGACCTAATGAACCCCAAATCTTATTAGATGAACATATAGAATATAAACTCCAGGCGGATATCTACAGATTGTGACCGCGTTTCCGCTCACCTCGCTTCGAACGGTACTCAAGCACAAGCACCGAGTACAACATCTTTGGATCCACCACTGTTATCGATATCAAAATCCATGAATACTCCGCTCCAATCAAATTAGGTTCATCGCCACTGAACGAGTACATTGGTGGTATATTGAGGTCCGCTGCATGAACAATTCATGGCTTTAATCACAACATTAAGCTTCAACATTGCTGAGGTCATGGAAGTAGAGCAAAGTCATTTCATTGACACATCGATTCATATACACACAAGATAACCTTATCTGACTTGTACAGCCCTACGAAACCGTTCCCCGCTTTAGCCCCCAAACTTTAGCTCCACCTGACTAATCCGGGGTAGAGCCTCCACTAAGGGTTCCTTTTCTTCGAAGATGTTGTTTCCTTGAGGTTGCATACATGCTATACAATACCGCTTATTATCAAACGGAAAATTTCATGGGCTTAAGATTTCTCCTGGCAGAAGCTGTTGCATTCGTACCCGTAGATTGCTGAACAGCAACGCATCCACCGAAAGGTCCCGCATTCGATGGGTTCACAACCTTGACCATACAGACATTGGATTGTCCTGCCACAGTACCGGTACAAGTTATGCCAGCCGGAATATCTACACTGAATGGCTGCATACTTGATTAGCACAAATTGAGAAAGAGGATGATAGGAACTCAGTATCTCACATAGTCTTCGTTGATGTTGGAGGCTCTTTTCATCAAACCAATGCTTCTCATAACCCGCTCCCATCTTGTTTGTTTAGCCTTCTTTATGTTCCCCCTCTTTCCTGGTATTTGAGTAGTGACCACGGCTTTGACTGCATCCGAAAAATCGCCTTTTCCGGTAGTGTCAACCATTGCTGTAAGAGGCTACGCACGTATCAGCGAATACATTTCTTAGCAATACGGAAAATTGTATACATACACCTGCACCGTCGGAAGTCACAATGTGGAAAGTACCCGAGATAGATGCATTATCGGTACTTATCTGTGGAAGTGTGTTGCCCGAAAGAGCCATTGACTTAGTCACACCGGACTCTGCTTTGTTTCTTCCTGCAGCCTTGGAACTGTTAACTGATAGTTGACGTACGGGGTGACAAGTAGTATCAATACCTCTGTTTGTCCACAATTATTACTACCAATGTCGAATACCGTAGTGTCGAGCTCTGTTTTAGAGTTTGACCCAGTATCTGCAACAACAGCTCCTTTGATTCCAAGGGCAGTACCGTTTCCACCGAGATTTCCAGTTACAACTGCAATTTTTCCATGGGCCACCACAAGAGGGCTCAGGGCAAAGAGACCAAGGGCAATGATTGGTGTGTACATGATGGTGTGTGGACACGAAATACCAATTTCTTTTTTAAAGGGTAAGATAAGGTATTGTGGATGTTGAGGAGGAAAGTTCTGGAAAATAAATAGTAATACAAATAAACACTCGGAAAGGAAGAGACACAGCCTGCTATGTCGAAGGTAAGAGAGAGATTGAATCGATAGACAGCAAGAATTGGAGGGATTTCCTTTTATCTTATACAAAACTTGCAAGTATTCCACCACCACAAGAGCCCAATATGAATTTGCAGCTCTTTCGGTGTGTCTCATACATACACCAGCGGTAATGGAGTACGCTAAATGATGTCGCAGGTTGCCTATATGATATCGAGAAGATACAGAGTATGCAAATCAAGACTCCTGAGCACTCGCTAACTGTTTAAGCGATGTCTCTATTGGACGAAAGGTGCCAGGAAAACGAATGTGGATCTGAAAATATGGGTTTAAATTAAGTGTTGAAAGGGTGGACACTCTGGGAGTATTTGTTTTGCATGATAAATCGATAGCTATCCATAAGCAGCCCAACTATCGGCTTATTGCGAGACTACATGTCATTCAGATCGAGCAGAGCTTGAACATTTACCTCTACACTGGCACTTGAAGATGCTGACCCTGGCGCGAGGATGGCTTCGAACTCGAGCTCCCAGAACGATAAATCCCAACAGAATCGTTCAATCAATGCAGGAATAAAACCGAAGTTCGCTTATCATTCTAGCTTCAATATACCGAGAACTTGGCATCTCAAGGTACTTCCATAAGTAAATTAAAGACAAATGCCAAGCATTTAAATTTTAGTCAACTATTTACGCTACACATCAAATTGGATTAAGGTTAATTGGTGAAGACAAAATGGGCTCTATCTCGTCTCATCACTAGATATAAAGTAACCACTCGATGTTAATGTCAAAATTTGGGCTGAGACGTGGATTGTCTGAAGATGCGATAGTCGAGTCCCGGGAAAGATCTCCACCAGGGTCATGAGAACCGAGTCAATGAAGCAAAGAAATATACGAGCGAATGATAGAAGCATTTCGGGGTGTTCCCGTTGTAATACAAAACGCTCCAATTGCGATTTAGATAGCCGTGTAAGCAAGGATTGATGGTAGCTGAGCATCTCGAAATAGCCGCCGAGATGGGGCTCCAAAAATAAGCATATCTGCAAGGTTCGGCACCTTTACCCGGCGTCATGGAATATCCTAAATGACCGACAAATGGTTGTTACGTTACGATGGAGTTGCACATGGTATAAACCAAGGGTTCTCATGCCCCATACATGTAAAACTTATATGCACTTTAGGTGATAATTAGTACCCCGTATCCATTACCAGAAAATTGTAAGCTTGAATCGAAATCTGTAAAGCATTGCCACGATCAGTATCTAGGCATCATATGACTCTAGTGATTATTTGTGGTTTCTTGAAGTAAGCTAAAGTCCAGTGAGACGTTCCCTGGTAGTATTCAGGACGAGTTGAATGTTGACACCGGGTTTTCCATCAGACTGCAAGCGGTGATATAAAAAATCATTCCGTTCATCATCGTTGAGATGGCTTTGCCAGATCGTTGCTTTTTTCAGCACTTAATACCGAAATGCTCGCCCGAATGAACTCGTCATCTGTTGTGGTATAAAGCAGGCAATCTAATACATATTTGCATGAAGTGGCGCCCATTATATATCTTGAAGTGCGCTCCACAGAATTCTCAGGGTCTGCTAAGATACTACTCTACACTCTTCTTTCCTACGGTTAGGGAGATGAGCCAGGGCTCCCAGTAGTCCCCAGTTGCAGTCTGATAATGAGGTGCCCCCCCTCTGGTAACCCTTTCAATCTTTAATCGAATTGAAATGTTGCGTCTATCTTGAGTATTGAACTGCCTTGAAATATAGATTCTCCCATTCAGTTCGCCAGCCCTGATTCTTGAGCAATCTGATGAGGAAATTTCTCTGGCAGAGGTTCCAAAATCAAGACCGAACTATATGATCATGTATTATCAGACCAGTATACACCCCTCTACATCAGAAAAGCTGCATAATTGTTTTTTATTTGCAGAAAATCTTCTTTCGGGCTCTAGGATATCTGGAATGAATGTGCGAATTGATTGTAGTAGTTTGATAATTAGTTAGTGAATAACTGGGAATGATTCAAAACTAGTCTTAAAGACAAACTGGTTTAGCAAATTAAATTCAACTCTAACAATATCTGGTCAATGACAGTCGGAAATACTCGTTCCGAGCCGAGATTTTTTCTTATAGAAGAAGAATAAACAGCTCTTAAAATATACCTTGCTTTGACTTCTTTGAGCTTCCATTAAGAAACATCAACAACAACGTTGGTGTACGATGGATTCATCAAAACCCCAAATTAATATAGCTTTGTGCTTTACGAGCTTTTCGCTCTTCCCTAAAGAGATACAGCTTGAAATTTGGTTCCAGGCGCTTCCAAAAGGACAACTCGTCTACCATGATTCTTTTGGACCATTCGAACCATCAAGGCCCTCCGCGCTATACTACACCTGTCTCGATTCCCGCGAGGTTTATCTTAAACACTACAAGCAACTATACCTTCACAATATCACCTGTCCTAATAAGGGGGGAACCAGTGGCGACACATACCGTTCATTCTACAACCCAATAAAGGATACACTTGTATACATATGTGCCGATCACCTTTTACTTCAACAAACCCGCTGTTGTAGCACAGAGAATGACTTGCTCTCTCAAGCTCGTCACATCGCCTTTGTAGCTGGCCGAGAATGTTATGCTCCACACGTATCACCTACGTCGCACAATCCCAGATATGGCCCATTGGCTCTGTCACCAGAATTGGGACTTGGACTTTGGAAGTATATTTACGAACATTTCCTCTACATCAATCCTGTAGTCGAATCTGTTGCTTATGTGGTTGGAAGGTCTACGATCAACAAGACAGCTAGATTATACCCTGAGATGAGGTTGGTAACGACGATGGAAGAGATCGGCAAGCATCCATTATTCAAGTGGACGCAGTTGAGCAATATCGGGAAGAAGTATTACGAGAACACGATCAATGATATTCGCAGTGGTTTTGAGAAGTTGAAAGAGTTGCATCCAGAAGCGAAAATTCCGCGAATCGAAATGGCGTTCCCGAGGAAAAAATACGCGTCAAAATAGAAGAATGGTACGGGTTCATTTTTGAGATTGGGTACCGGGTTCTATACTAATTCTTATTAATTAGGCATCGAGTCGAGACAGATATATGGGGATAGACCCTATCTTATACAGCTTCTGCACATGTATTTGTTCGTCTTTCTTCGACAAATGGGCCTGAGTTATGAAAGCAGATGATCTCACAGTCAAAAGGTACCACACATGATGCATTCAAATTCAGGAACAAGGGACTTCGTTCGTGGCTGTTTGCGTCAAGGGTTGGGATTCTGAATGAGAGACTTGGTTGCAGACGGTCGTTCTCTATCCATCCGCTAGGGTAGAAATCTGCAGATATACAAAAGATATACTTATTCAAATCCACAATCGCTTTTTGACCGTGAGAAACACGAGGCTCTTGAGCATTATCATCGAAACAATTGCAAGGAATTTCTTCAATAATCAAGTATGCTGATGCTAATTTCATGCTTAGTTCCAAAGTTTTTTTCCCCAGTGAACTTTCAATGTCGTCGGCGGGGTGGTACAAGGATGACTAATCCATCAAAAATCAATACTTCCATCAACAACATGCCATCTCGAGGTCACTCTTTTCAATTCTGACGTTTCCTTCACCCCTGAGCTTGATACATGAGAAACTACGAAATGATCAAAGTCAACTGCTGGGTTATAGAACTGCATTATGTTGATCGAGAACGCGACGAGCTAAGCTTACGCCGACAAAAGATACCACCATCACAGCTCAGGTCCTTGCGAAGTAGATTGCACCGTGCATCGGGTTCTCAGCATCAGATGTGAAGCTCGTAATCTCAGACTTCTACGCGGGTCGAAAAGAATAGACGTCTCAAAATTGTCCCATTGCCCAAAACACTCCTCTTCCTTGAGGCTCCCTCGCCCGAAAGATTTTTTCTCGGCCAAGACAATTCTACTCACGAATCATGAGTAGTACAGCCTCATTTAACATCGTCACTTATATTTGTCTAGCCTGTTCAAAATGGGTTAAGCATTGGCAGATTCATAAATTCATCTGGAAGCATCTTAGATACCGCGTCTTGAGGGCGGCATTACATAATATAAATCGAAGCTTCAACAATCCAACAGCATGAACCTTGGATGTTGGGATGAGGTATCTACATTCTCACATAATTCACAAGGTGGCTTATATTCTTTTATCTAGCTCCGTCTTTAACTTCCCTCGCTCCCTAAGCCAGCCACGCTATTGGCACGATAAGAATTACATTCTCACTCCCACTCTCAGTCTGATAATGGACCGATTATCATTCTACTGACCAATTTGTTATTCCGTTGGTATCATGATAGGACTTCGGATTCCTCACAGAATGATTACCAATTTCGATAAGAATACGACCAAACTATCCGTTATCTAACCGTTCCGGGTTCTCATTGAAGCTCGTGGGGATGAATATTACCCCAACTATGGTTGGTTCCTCAAAATGATAAGACGCCGATGACGTCTGGGGAATTCAATCTGGACACCGACAGGTCTGCCGACATAAAGTATTGAATGTTATTACAACGTATTGAGGATTCTCCACATCTTTCCGTTCATCTCCCTCGTCCCCAGATGTAAAGTTTTGATGATCGCGTCTGATCGTACACTGTCGAAGAAGCGAGATCAATGCGTGCAACGGGCAGCGATGACCAACAGCCTGAATATCAAGGTTGAGAAGGATACCGCCCCGCCCATCATCATGGATCGTGCGCCGGATATTTTAGGGACGTCCGAGATCCGATAGGGAAGATTAACTTGGCAAGGTTATTCGTCGGTAGTTGAGTGAGTTGTTGGCCTATCCCCTGAAAATGCCCCTCTCCGCTAGTCACTAGACTATCTACCCGCATTCCACCGTTCCACTCTCCTTCGTTTTCCCTGAACATTAGGACAAGGTACCAACCCCACGATTTATAGAATGAGCCTTTTTTTTCTGCGACCGAGAATCACTTCGTATCCCAGCGACACCGGTTGGATAATGATCGGACGCATGATTTGATAATGTTATTGGCATAGGAGGATTAGTTTGATAAAGATAAACACTTGATAGCTAAGTCTGGCAATGATGCACTAAACTATCATGTAAGATACTTGGCGCCAGTAAGAGTATTCTACCCGGTGAGATATCGTGATGTATTGGAGATGAGTATAAAGAGATCATGGTTTTCCCTTTTTAGTCAGTACCTCATCCTCCCATATCCAGAAGAACATTCTCCAATTCATCATGTTCTCACGTTTCTTGTCGGTTACTGCTCTCGCAGCATTTGCCTCTGCTTCCCCAGTGGTTTACCAGCGTGATACAAGTCCATTTGTCTTCACCAACTCCAATGGCCTCAACTTCACTCAAATGAATGCGAGCCTGCCAAATATCACTGTTTTCGCAACTGGTATGGCAATTCATCAGCCAACTTCTTAGATTTATACTAACTCGATACAGGTGGTACAATTGCAGGCTCTAGCAGCAGTAACACAGCAACGACTGGATATACTGCAGGTGCCGTTGGAATTTTAACTCTTCTCAACGCAGTTCCAGAAGTCCTTAACTTCTCCAACGTCGCTGGAGTACAAATCTCCAACGTCGGTAGTGAAGATGTGACCTCCAGCATTCTTCTCGATCTCTCAAAGCAAATCAACGAGGTAATTTGCAACGATGATACCATGAGTGGTGCAGTCATTACCCACGGTACAGATACATTAGAAGAGACCGCCTTCTTCATGGATGCCACCGTCAACTGTGGAAAACCGGTCGTCATCGTTGGATCCATGCGTCCCTCCACCGCCATTTCAGCAGATGGACCTTTCAATCTCCTCGAAGCTGTTACTGTGGGTGTAAGTCCCAAAGCCGTTGGTCGCGGAGCTTTGGTTGTTCTTAATGATCGTATTGTTTCCGCATACTATGTTACCAAAACAAATGCCAATACTATGGACACATTCAAAGCCATTGAGATGGGTAACTTGGGTACTCTCATCTCAAATACTCCTTATTTCTTCTACCCGCCAGTTGAACCCACTGGAAAGATCGCATACGATATCTCGAATGTAACCGAAATCCCTCGAGTGGATATTTTGTTTGCAAATCAAGATATGCATAACGATACCCTTTACAATGCTGTTTCCAGCGGTGCCAAGGGCATAGTTGTAAGTACCCTCTTATATCCTTCACCGCAAACATTTTGACTAATATCTCTACTAGATTGCCGGTGCCGGTGCAGGAGGTGTAAGCACATCCTTCAACTACGCCATGGAAGATGTCATCAACAGATTGAACATTCCCATCGTCCAAAGTACTCGTGCTCCAAATGGAGAAGTTCCTCTCTCTGATATCAGCAGCGAGACAGCCTTGCATATTGCATCTGGATATTTGAACCCTCAGAAGTCGAAGGTTCTGCTCGGCATCTTGTTGGCATTAGAGAAGAACTCTACTGAGATCAGTGATGCTTTCGCTGGAAGTGCTGTTGCTTAAATTCTCGATTAAAAAAAAACGGTGTAGATGAATGTTTAATGATACCTTTATGATTTAGAAATCGGCTTTATATTCCTAGCCCCTTCTCAAATACTTCTTGTAAATAGATTAAGTTTAAATATGTAGCCATCGCTAGTACGCTACCAAATCTTCGCAAAAGCATAGCGGTCAAGGAATTCTTTTTCGCTTCTAATAATGAGCCGAGTATATCTCGTGACTTATTCATCCTTCTTCCCAGCCAAGTCTTCATTGCTTTCCTGCTCAAGGACTCCTTCTCGCATATCCTTCAACTTCTCCCTCGCAGCTTTCACAGATGCTAGGACATCCATTCCCAGATCTCCCGTGCCGATGAGATCTTTCTCACCAGGTGGTGTCTCAAAACGAAGGGTGACTTCCGGGAAGCCATTCTCATAACAATTTTCAAATTCTTGTAGTTTCCTTTCCCAAATCGGAACATGCTCATCCCACCATTGAACGCCATCCTCCCTAATCTTTTCTCCAGCGATAATGATATATCGAGTTGCTACAACAATCCTAAAATCTGTATCAATGTATATCAAAGAGATGATTGCCGTGCTTTTTCTCGCATTCCACATATCATGCTTGACTTCTATATTGATATCATTATACGGAGGACTTTACTCGACAATCTATCGCTCATCAGGTCAGTGTGCATCTCATTCGGACTCAATAAGTCTTTGCTCACCTTGTCGTCGGCACCTTCGAAAGTTTTTCTTGGGAGTTTCAAAAGCTCAACTATAAGTTGTAACAACATATCTTGTTTACGATCCTCGTATGGTATAAATGCTGCTAAGTCGTATATTGTTTGGAACACAAAATTTAGGGAATCGCGCGTAGAATCGTCAATTTGTTTGGCGGCTTTCGCAGCAGCGTCATCGTTCTCGGAGAGGAGAAAGTCTATGAAGATATTTGAAATTTTTGGAACGAACTCCTGACCGGATGGTATCGAGGCTTGTTTAGTGAAGAAAGTAAGCCACGGAGGCTGAATTTCAGTACTAGAAGACATGATAGATAATGATCAATGTCGTGCTGGACGAAAATAACATACCTTGCTCTGTAACAAATAAATGCTGTTAGTAGATATCTTAATGATTGAATGAACTAATGGTAGCGAGGGGGTCAACAGTTTTATACGATTCACTTACCTTATGTTCGTTTGCACGAATGGCTGCGCCGCCTTGCGTATGGGGTGATCTAAGCAATAAAGCGGTGTGTAATTATCAGCACACTTCCAATCCTTAACCGATTTCCCCACTATGTGCACGTCCCTACTACGTGCACGACTTTGGAAATATCAACATTATGGCTTCAAACATCGATGATATGCCTTTAGAGGCTCGTATAGAGCTTGCATTAGATCATTTGAAAGGGGTTCAAGCTCCTAAATACACCCAGACAGCTAATTTCTTCAAAATTGATCGATCCACGCTCTCCCGGCGGCATAGAGGTAAAACCACCTCGAGAAAACAGTTCCTCTCCGATACGAAACAAGCGCTTTCTAGTGATCAGGAGGAGGTTTTAATTGATCAAATCAACAAGCTGACACAGAGATCTATCCCTCCTACAAGCCGCATAGTCAGAAACCTTGCAGAAGAGATCCTAGGCAGAGAGGTGGGAAAGAACTGGACTAGCAATTTTGTCAAGAGGCATTCAACACGTCTTAAAAGTCGGTATCTCCGTTGCATTGATAATTTGCGTGTGAAAGCCGATAATGTTGCTATATTTGATTACTTTTATGATCTGGTTTGAGCTATTTTCTATTGTTGTTGATCTTTATTACCTAAAACGCTCTTGCTAATACCCCTCTTTTTTTAATTTAGTTGATAAAAGTGACCATAAAATACGATATACGGCCGAGAGATATATACAATTGGGACGAGAAGGGCTTTATGATCGGTATGGGGAGGACTATGAAGAGGATAATGAGTGCTAGCGCCTATAATAGAGGCAGAGTGACAAAAGCTAGGCAAGATGGATCAAGAGAGTTTATTACTCTACTGGCAGCTATATGTGCTGATGGGACAGCTCTCCCTCCCGCTCTTATTTATAAAGGAGACTCAGGGGATCTACAAAATACATGGGTTCAGGATGTAGGGGAGAAGGATAAAGCCTATTTTGGAGCCTCAAGCAATGGGTGGTCGTCGAATGCTTTTGGCCTATATTGGCTTATAAACGTATTCGACCCTGCTACACGTCGAAAAGCAGGTGGAAGATATCGTCTACTTATTGTCGATGGTCACTCTAGTCATGTCAATATGGAATTCCTTTCAAAATGCGATGAATTAAAGATTATTGTCTTAATTCTCCCCCCTCATTCTACACATCGACTACAGCCTCTCGACGTTGGAACCTTCGGTGCCCTTTCAACGAATTACAGTACATTATTGAATGATTTGATGCACAATAGCGGGGGAATTGTTGGTATGACAAAGCGCATGTTTTGGGGCATATTTAAAAAGGCTTGGGAGCTCACTTGTACGAGGCATAATATCTTACGATCCTTCGAAAAAACGGGCATATATCCTATGAATAGGAGTCTTACGATCGACTGTATTGCTCCGGAAGCTCCTTCTACGCCACCTACATCATTTAAAACTCGCAGGGATGCTCTTGCTACACCGTATACGTCAAAAGCGATGCGTAGAATGAAATTAGAATTTCGTCGCGCTCCCACCCATGAGATCACTTTAAAGCTTTTTAAGGCTGCAACTACATTAGGAGCTGAAGCTTCTATACAGGGGCATAGATCTAAAGGTTTAGAAGAGGCTCTAAAGCTTGAAAAAAGGAAAAGAGCTCGTTCAAAGCGTTTAAATCTCATTGGAGAGGAGGGGAATGGTGCGTTTTTATGGTCACCCTCTGCTATTATTAAAGCTAGAGCGTATCAAGAAGATAAAGCACTTAAAGAGGAGCAAGAGAAGGAAGCTAAGCTTCAAATAAAAGCTGAAAAGAAAGCTGAGAAGGAACGGAAGGAGATTGAGACGAAAGAGAGAGTATTGCAGAGGGAGGTTGATCGTCAGATTGCACGTGATGCGAAAGAGGAGGTTAAAAAGACTCTAAAATCAACGAAATCTCCAATCAAAAGAGATAAAAAGTTCCCCAAAGCTTCTTCTACTATAGATCTAACATCAACAAAGACTATAGAGCTCTCTGATGCTGTAGAGGCTAATAATTCGAAGGAGAAGGAGGAGGAGGTCATATTGCGATCTAGTAGAGGGCGAGCACTACGAGTTCCATCGAAATTCAAAATCTGAAGATTTTATTATGTTTTTAGATAGTATTATATCTTGTCATTTATCAATTAAATTGCTAGCTCTTTATCTTATAAATTGGAATTGTTATTAATTTTTAAAGTGATTCAAAATGGGTGATCAAGATCGTGCATATAGCAGGGACGTGCACGTAGTAGGGAAATCGGTTATAAGCGCTGAAATGCAGCTCACGTGTACGCACGCTGTCGGCATTTTGGCACGATATTACATTGCGCGGATAAATTCGATAGCGTGTCCAATCACGCAGATTAGTCTCCCGAATTTCGAAAATCGCGAAACAAACGTCCTAGACGCTCCTGCATCCATTAGTCACACGGTGGTACCGACAGTCTGGTAAATACGACGACTTGGGTGGATGACCGAGGTGGGTTTTGAGATACCGTTGATTTCTTACCAGAGATTTACAGCGGTACCAGGATTATACCCGGCAGTGCTTAGCCTTTGGTGTCTCTCAAAGAACATCACTCGTGATCCGGAATCTGATAAGTATTGGAGTCCCAAAAATAGACCATAGGTTGGGTACCCAGCGGTACCGGCACATTGGTAAGATAAGAAGGCCAAGAATGTGATTATCGTCTGTCTTCCAATCATTCTACAAATTTGGACTTCCTCGAACTATCGCTCGCTATTTTCATGGGGACAGTTACATTTTGGCATGAAAGCGTCTAAGGCGCTTACAGTATCATGCCATGAAGTAAAACATGCGGGCGGGATCTAAGCGTGGTAAATGAGTTGGTATGTTAGAGCTGTAGAAACAGGTTAAAGAGATGTCCAGGCCCCCAGCCATTGCTAAAAGCAGGCTAAGTGTTCTTTTCTTGCAGACAGCGGCGTCAGAAAGAATTATCGAAAGGAGATGATTCGATGACAGTGGCATTGTTGTATAGGGGTTATCTATATTGATGCCGACTTACTGTCATGTTATCATGAAATTTTAATCTCTGAATGTAAAATTGTGTATACAGAAAATGCAGCTATAAGAATGATGAGTGAGGCCTCAATGCTATATCCAAATCCATATATTTTTCATCATCAGCTGGTCGATAACTTCACGGTGGTCATTACTTGTCAGAACTTTTGTCATCAAGACTAAATCTTTACTTCAGGAATAACACTGCCATTTTTCATTGAGCTGCAATCGAACCACATTCAGAGTATGGATACATTCCTACACCCTTGATAGATAGTATGGTAATAACAAAAATCAGTCCCTCTACAACATCTCCAGTCACGCGTTTATTTAAACCCAAGATGGATCACGGAAGAAGAAATTCTGATAATACTAAGGATCATCTTTTAAGTCACTAACTTATGATCAAACCATCCCTTCTGACCTTGCCACTAGCAATACCATATACCGCGCGGTAATATTACCCACAAGGTAGTGCTTGCCAAGATTCATCGAGCTTCCCCGACTCTTCCAAGAAACGACATAAACAATATGCCTCATAGGTACGGTAATAGGGAAGGCCAGCGGCCGAACCATTATCCTCTCTTCGAAAGCAGAGAACTTCCTCAGCGAAGGATCAATGCAAATAGAACGGGACCTGTCCCGCTGTACGAGTATCCTGTCACCACTCCAGACAAGTCTTCTTTCGACTATAGCCGAGCAAAAGTAGAGCCGCGAGCAGTCCCTCAGAATGAGCGAGCGATGAGGCTCGAGCCGGAAACTAGATTCAATGATGTGCGTTACATGAGAGGGATTACTGACCCCGATAAAAAGATTGTGGGTGCAATATATCATCCTGTTGGAGATCGTGCTGGATTTGCTCGTGCGGAGCTCCAGCCACTTGACCGCCAGGGTAGAGACCATAATCGAATGCTTCATGAACGAGCGCAGCATGCCCAACTTTCTATCTAGTTGATTTGGTTGGCCGAATCAACTAGATAGAAAGTTGCATACGAGCTAGCGAGCTTCTAGGGACCAAGATAGGAGCTACATGGAATCACAAAGAAGTCAGACAATGTATGCAAAATCCAGGTGGGGGTTCGCTTGGAGAGGAGAATGGGATTTATTTTAGTATTGGGGATCGTAACGGAGAAATTGAACAGGATGACACGCGAGATAGTGTGGGGTAATGAAAATGGCAACTTGTATGGAGTGGCTAGGGTCACAATCTATAATGTTGATATCATACTTTCCAAATCTTGCGCCAGATATCTTGGGTAATTGCGTTTGAATTTGTGTCGGGTGTTGATGCGTGCTTTATTGTTTTTACTCTTTTAGTATTTAGTTTACCGAGGGCCATGGAATCGTTTTGAGCATGTCGGTGGTCTGAAAAGCGCTTGCTGTGTTGATGGAATAATGAGCTAGCAATAAAACAAATTTTTGAGCAAAAGAAGGAACGATTGGGATAAAATGATCATGCGAAAATATTGATTTCGGATACCTGAAGTCGGGGCCCATCTAATTGCTGTTTATGCATCATTGACTGTTCAAAAATCAGTAAATCTAGACACTAGTGTAGGAAATACTTCAATAGATATTGTAACTACACAATCGTCTCCAAGAACAACTCCAGGCTCGGTTACATCTCGTACCTGGACTTCCTAGAGTCAGGGTCGCGATTCGAAAATCAGGTGCTTTCTGTTTGATGTATTTCAAATATCTGAACTAATTTTAATATTCAATGGTACTCAGAAGCCTGAAAGCACACAATACTTCTTCCGGAGATGATTACAAGCCATGGTTCTATCCACTACCTTCCATTTCCATTTTTCTGCTTCGCTCCTGACTTATTTGTACACATCTATGCACTTCGGTCCTGTCATCCAAGAAACATATTTCACACTACACTACTCTTCCCCTGAGAGAATACCTCATCTGCAGTCTTCGTTGCTCCTCCCTCATATAGTCGATGTCTGTATATTATGATCTCGCGATGCCAAAAAACCATCTTATCATTGCATTATACAAAATCATATCATAAACTCACATATCAGTTATTCATTTTGGAGCTTCAGACAATGGATGAATCACAGGGGCCGGAATATTGTTTCCAGACACGCATCCTCAAACACTTTAAAGGCAGTGCTGCTTACATTCCTGGCATGCCAACTATGTCTTCCCCAATGGATAAGAAATTTGAGTCTGTTGATAGATTTGTCTCACGCTACAATGAGTGTAGAAACAGCTGGGAATATGGTGTAAGTTTAGGGAAGCAAGAGTACCTAGGCATTACAAAAGAGAATTTTCGTAAGATTGATGGGTTGAAAATACCAAAGGGTGTCAACAAAAAGAGTTTGATTAAGCCGAGCGAAGACTGGTTCGAGGAACATCCTGATTTCCGTAAAGAATGGGAGAGCAAAATGAGAAGTTTGCGTAGAGGAGAAGAAATCATCGAGGCCAAGGTGTGCATCATTTTTGGAATAATACTTGCAGCATCTGCTAATGATTCAACTCATCACAGACGCTTAGTGATGCTTTTATGAACGATCCCGTGGGAAAATTCTTTTTCAATCATCTGACAACAAACAGTTAATGAGTATGATAGGATTCTGGAATGATACATGTCACCCAGCATCGAAGAAACATGGGCTCAAAAGGAGTTTTATATTTTCTAGAGGTCTGAGTTTCCTCTCTCGATTCGCATAACATTGACTCATTCGATACTTTCAAGCCTACATTAGAAAGCGGCCCTAGTCAACCAGTGCTTCCACCCAGTCGAGCTCAACAGAGTGTACAGCCGTCTCTGAATACTGCTGGCTTCTTATTGGCAAAGCCAAATCCTAACCCTGATCTTCAAAGACACAGCAAACTCAGCGACGATCCCATCAATCCCACTACATATTCTGGGATGCCCTCTCAGACCCCCGACAATGGCAACCCATCTTCAACCACCCCAGGTGCAACTACAAGACCGGCTTATGGTGATAATAGCAGTACAGATGGATGGACCAACCGATATCCATGAGGATATTCTAGTCTCAAGACTCTCACCAATAGGTTAGTTCATGAAGCTTGGTATGTGACAAGGCCACTAAAAGAAAATTAGAATCGAATAAATTTCGATGTGGCATTGATAATGGGAGAAACACGATGATATGGTAGTTGAATTCAGAGCTAGACTCACCTGTAAAGCGCATGACATTCGTTCTATGATTGTTTCATCCAGCAGTCTGCAGATAACCCAGCGCCTACGTACTGAAAGGGTCTAGAATCCCACTGTTTTAGGTGTGGGAAAGCGATTTTAACGAGAGATCGACTATTATCAATATAAAGACTTCTTTCTTTGAATTGCGGTTTCTAAAAAGCTTCTGTCTCCACTGCATGACTACTTGAGGGTTCAGAAATCCCATTCTAAAGCCCACATCCCGTCAATAACTGGAATGTGAATATTCAACCTGTCATCACCACTGTAAAAGCTTTGATGGCTGAAGCCGAACGGACAGTCTGTCATTTAACGCCACGAATACAATCACACTCTCTTCACTTGTCAAGGAGCAATCGTGTAGCTCTCGATACTCTGTAGCGCTTTGTTCGTGATTGTATGATTCCAAGGCTGTTGATTTAAAGATGCGTGGTGTGAAGCCTGCACGCTATGTGTCAGCAATCTGCAGGCTGCACGTGAACTTGCGCAACACAACAAACGCGCTTCATTGAACATTTCCAAACAACTGTATTGCATTGACAATTCATACCTCCCAGGGAGCATTGAGCTATTTTCCTTTTCCCCTCGCCAGTAGGTACAGGATGTACACAAAAAGCATTGAGATCTTATCAAGAAACTTGAGGAGCTGCATTTTTTTTCCTTGAGAGGAAGGATGGGAGATTCTCGTAAGTCGAAGGACCACGATAGTCTTTTACCGGTTAAGTTGTTAGTTGGCGGCTTATTATTGTGTGTTCAAGATGAATACACTTACCTGAATATGCCAGAGTTCTCAGGAGATTTTCAAAACTCATCTGGATCGAGAAGCATGCACTCTCCTCAAGACTGGTGTATCGCAGCCTATACGATATTCGGCCATTCTTCACGAGTATGATCAAACAGCAACTCTGATCGTCGGGCCTCCAAAATTTGCCATTCAGGGCTTTTAGATGGAGAAAGTTTGTCTGCAAAAGTCTTTACTCAAGATCAGAACGACTTCGTTCAGCTAACGGATTCCTCCCAATGTTTTTCACCCCGAAGATCGTAAGAATGGCAATGAATCATCACTGCAGTACTAGCTGCGGATTTTGATCTCAGAACCGATACTGCTTATGAGAATTTGAAGCCATTGGAATATGTTGCAGATGTCGGGAAGCGTACTTTGAGTGAATGTGGCATGAGAGACTTAGCTACAGAGCTCCTCAACCAGATTGTATCGTCCGATGATCAACCACAAAGTTGCCAAATGAGGAGTTTCGGACATAGAATTGTGTCTGCCGGCATCGCCATTAATATATATGAATTTGAGGAGGATAATATGACAACGTTAGGGTAGCAACGATGAAAAACTTGTAAGGGAGTGAGAACTTAATATCACTTGAACATGTCCAAGCATTTATTTTATTTAATTTCGCATTTTTATTGGTCATCTAAGTCTCTTCGCTGCATCAACTCTCATTATCTACCTAGTATGGCTCAAAAAGTATTCACTATCCATTCTCTTCCACCAAGGACCGCGAAAACCCGCTTCTTCGCTCAAACTATAAGATTCATCGAATTTTCTCTCAATACCACCTGAAAGGCGAATCTGACACAATTTTGTACAATCACTGCTTCCACTTCGCTTTCTACCAACCCTCTTGATTTCTTATTGCGCTTTTGTACCCAGAACTTGCTTCATTTAAGGCAATATTCTACCTGGGTAGCTTTCGAATCCAATACAACTTTTGCCATGTCGATCCAACAGCTTTCTAGATTTCTAAATGATCAGAATGGATTTCGTCGTCGAGCTCGAGGCTCTTCCCGTGCAGTATTCTTGCAATACGATTATTCTGAATCGCAACAAGTATTTGCGAATAAATTTCCTACCTGTCAGCTCTCTGGGCTCGGTGGTCTGAAAGATTGGGAATGGTTCATCGACGAAAAAAGTAAGATCTTACAATCTGCTTGAGCATGTCTGTTGTCGATTACCACTGATCGTGAATTGTAGGCAAACCAAACATCCGACCAAGCTTTTACAATGACAGATTACACATCCCAATAGGCCCTGTCCCGGCTCCCGCAACAAGTATTGAACAATGCAAGTCGGAGACGCCAATCAACGTGTTGGGCTTTCTTTATACTCTATCATTCGAAGAATTGAATGCGCTAGCACAAGAGCAATGTTTAGAAGGCAGACAGCAGCTTTACGTTCCTGTTCAAATTAAGCCCACGTCAATTAATAGTTTTGATACAAAGATGGTTGTGGCAACCATTTTCGTAGACATGGCTACCACCAGAGGAGGTTCCGTTGATTTGACAAATGAATCAACGAACTTAAAATGGGTTACGGCGATCAAACGTATGTACCTATCAGGAATTTTGGAGTGGTATAGGAAAAGTATCGAGGCCAAACTTAGAGGATGGGATAAGAGGGCTGAACCTCTTCTTGTTCGTCTTAATCCAAATCCTACTATTGATCCGCGGACAGCCCAGAGACAGGCAGCTCTCATCATGAATGCAAGACTCAAACAACAGCAAGATCAAGAGCAAGAAGATCAGCCAGGGCGACAACAGCAGATGAAAGGACCAAGTCGACCAATGATCACAATTTCTCAAAGACAGCGAGACTTTATGCTGCAGCAGATCCTGAATCATGGAATGATATCATCGGAGGCCGTGCTAAAGCTTAGCGAGCCACAAAAGACTCTTATGGTCGACACCTATCTACGCAGACAACAAAAGGCAATTTATGTAAGAAACAAAACAGAGAAGAAACGACTCGAGGAAGCTTCTCAAGTTTCTGATCCAAGGATTGGAATGACAGGACCACAAGGAAATGTTAAGGCCACAGGACAGCAAACAAACCCACGTGAAGAGGCTATTCTCAACGACATACTTCGAAAGCAAAAAGATGCAGCGCGAAAGCAAAATTCTACAGGAAGTTCTAGAATGCCGCCACCAGCACAACCAGTTCGCAGATATTCGCAAAGTAGTCTAGGGAGAGGTCAAGAACAAGCACAGGCACAGGCACAAGCACAAAACGGAATTAACACGCCTTTAACACAACTCAACTATCCTCAAAATCCCAATAATCTCAAACGACAAGCTTCGAATCCAATCTTTAACGCTATTGGCACGCAAGGTGCTAAACGACAGAGTACGGGAAATACAGGTGGTAAAGCGGAAGGTCCACAGAAGTTTAATAGAAATAATGGAGAGATGATAGATCCAGTTTTGAATCCAAACGCAAAGAAGAATTCAAGTGTTGCTCAGGAACCCAAACCCAAGACACGAGGTCGACCCAGGAAGAGTCGGGCTAAGGTACCGCCTACCGGGGATTCGAATAATCTGAATCAAGGTCGACAGAATAGTCAAGTCGTAGGAACTAGCATGAGCTCAGGTGGAAAGGTACGCGCGGATGTCAATGCGAACGGTAATGCGATATCTGGAAGTCAAGCACAAGCGGCTCCTGGAAATTTGAATCAAGTAGCGGGCAATGGAATCGGTAATGCGTATTCGAATGGAGGCCCCAATACGCAGAATAGATCACAAGCTCTTCCGCATGTGGAACAAGCAGCGAAGATGGTGGATTATTTTCAGCCGAAAGCTCATGGGGAGAATGCGGGAGATGGAAGGTTGCAGTAGGTGTGAGATGAAGGGGTGGGAAGATTGGGATGCGAGAGAATGATATAGAGCCAGAGAGGGAGTTACATAGAATGGGCATATACTCACACTCGATACCACACGATACTTCTGCAGCCCTTTGGAAATCAAGCAGGTATGTACGATTTTCCAAACGACCATCGGTCGAGCTTGTCGTCTAGAGGGTAGTGGACACGGGATTGCCTCTGGCTATGGTCAGACGGGGGGAGGATTTCTTGAATCACTTTCGCATAGCTGGAGTCGGGGTAAAGGGAAAGTTTATGTTTTCTTTTTGAACGCGAGAGTGGAATCGAGATCTGGGATGGTGATTATATGAAGATGATAGATATGATATAGAGGATGTTTGAGGGTCATCATGCGCAAGTTGTCAATGATGATAAATGCATAGAGATAGTAACCTGTTTTTCAATGATAGGATCGCGGGTGGTTGAGAAGTGAGGAAGTGATGCGAGTGGGATGAATGAAAAGCCTTTATTTCGATTGTGAATGATCGTATTCGTGAAGTAAAGTGTCTTGTGTATGCCATGTGTCTGGAGTGATGGTAATAGACGATGCGTTGAAAAAGATAATGAATCAATGGATGTCAGGGACAATGGCTAGAGATAGAATGGCGAGATGAGCACGTGGAAGTTCAATGTGACAAAGAGGATAGTTGATACATAAATATATTTCATTACAATCCCCCCACTGGTCCGCAGACACCATCTTAACACTACAACTTAGTTTTCTTTCCTTCACTCTCTACAATGCCACCCGTCAGACGTGGTGCATAAGATGATCTGTACTCAACCTTCTTAACAGGTCTCTCTGGTCTCTCCCTCTTCTCTCCTGGAACCCTCGGCACAACAGGCTCATCATTAGCTCCAACTCTACCACCAGATTCACGTTCCTCGCGTGGGTGTCTTTCGTTGGGGTTCTTGGATCCATCCTTTCCATATCGCTTCTTATATCTCAACTGATCATCCTCTGCAAATTCCATGCGTAAAGGACGCCCTTGAATCTTGTTCACCCACCATTTCCTTGTTTTGGTTTTTGGTTTCTTAGACTTCTCTGCTTTTGGTTTGGCTTCGGTTTCTGAATCGGAATCGGAATCGGAATCGGAATCGCTGGACTCAGATGAGGATTCTGCGTCGGAAAGGTCTTCTTCAATCAGGACCCAACCTTTAACTGCACTCTGCGCAGCTGATACTTCTTCGAATGTGACCCAAGCGTAACCTTTGCATTTTCCTGAATCTTCGAATGTTGCAACGTGAATCTTTTCAATGGCTCCACACTTTTCAAAATGCTCCTTGATAACTTCTTCCGTAGCATCGAATCGTAAATTGCCGACAAAGATCTTCTTGCTGGGTGGCTTGCCTTCAATCACAGCCTCCTTCTTTTCTGGTCGACCCTCAAAAGATTTGTTGTCTTTAATGAGAAGTCTTCGACCAGTGAGCAATTGCTCAGATAATTCAACTGCCAACTTGACTTGATCCTCAGTAGCAAAATCCACATAAGCAAATCCCTTATTATGAACAGGCTTTCCAAACTTCTTCTCCACCTTGTTCGCAGGCTTTCCATCGTTAGGGCCAGGCATGTGAATTCTGGTTATGTGCTCCTCTTCAAGATCCGAGAACTCCACAAACCATTTGCGTAACTCTTCTTTTGATACACTCCAAGGTAAATTTCCAACCCACACACCATGACCTGAACGCTTTTCTACTTCGGCCTTCTTCTTAGCTTCGGGTTCGGGAGAGGATTCTGCGCCAGATTTGGAAGGGGGAAGTGGTTTGCCTTTCTTTAGACGACGGAGAGCTTTCTTAGAAGGAGGTTCTGGGAGGGTAATATCGACTTCAATTTCTTCGACGGAGGATTTGCGTTTTTTGGTTGGTGGTTCTTCGGACGTCTCATCGTTATTTATTTCTGCGGCTTCTTCTTCAGTTCCTGTTGGGTCTAATTCTTCCGTTTCCACTGAAGCCTCAACTGGTTCCTCTTTCTTATCTTTCTTCTCCTTCTTCGTTCGCTTCTTTTTAGATTCGATCGGGGTGTTTTCATCAGCACCTGTCATCTCAGTATCGATATCAATTGACTCGGTGGAAACTGGTTGTTCTGTAATAGCGCTTGACTTTCTCTTCTTGCTCTCTTTCTTTTCCTTCTTCTCCTTTCTCTCTTTCTTGTGATCTTTAGTTGATTCCATGGTGTCTGATTCAACAATTAATGGTGCCATATTGTGTTTGAAAATATAAGGCAATTGATAAAATGTACATCTCCAATAAAATTAATCCATCAAAATTTCTTATCGAGAAACTTTCCTCGTCGGCGATGCGGTGATAAGATGACCCGGATCTAACGAGGTCTGGACTAGCCTTTTGAGCTTACCTTGAGAAGGCTGCGCTGTTGTTGTAGTGCACAGGCTATTTTCACCCTGAACTAATCTCAATAACTCTCAGCCTGATGATGCTCTAAATATATGCTTCATTCTTATTCAATAATCAATCTCGGTTCTGCGACGACGGTGATCCTTTTCCTGATTTTGTTGCAACAACAACAATTTCATCGACAATCATCCCATCAAGAAATCGCTACGATTCCATATTTAAGGATAATATAGTCGAACATGACGTCGTCCCTCGATGAAGAAATCTTGGGTGAGGATATTACAGAACACGAGGAAGGTGCTCAAAGCAGTCCGCCCGATGAAGTCAAACCGCCGCCATACAAGTCGTTTCGGTACGTCGCTCCCTCAATTCCATTCCAATAATTCCTGAAAGATTCACTTGGAGAGCTGGCGAGAGCAGTTGTGACTGTACTTCATTCTCTATGAGTTAAATACTCACTTGTGCTGTTGCAAACCCAACCTTGCGAACCCAACATTACAAACTCACCCACAAGTTACATATCTACTTAGCACGATCATCAGCTAATATGTGCGATTATAGAAAGAAGTATCGCAAGATGCGAATAAAGTTCGATGAAGCCATGCGCCAAAGTAATCATTTATTCATGGAGGAGCAGTTGGCGGATGAGACAGCGAAGAAGTTGGCGCGCGAAAATGAGTTAGTGGAGATTCGAACTTGCTTTTGGGAACATGGCTAACAAAATAATTTACAGTCGGCTCATGGATTTACTACTAGATATTAATAACTCTGCTCAAATACCAGCCGATAAGCGCATCGATTTGAGCCTTGGTGGACCTGCTCTTGCGGACGTTCCTGCTCTAGTCACAAAAGAAGAGCTTGCGAAAGCTGCCGAAGACACATCACCTGAAGGTCAAGCCCTTTACAAAGAGCTTCAGGATTTATTGAAGGACAAAGATGACACGAATACCACGGACAAACCAACCCAATCTCTTGCGAAGCTCATGTCGACCGTGCCACACATATCTTTGATGAATTCTCACGTCTCTCCTGAATCGTTGGCTGATTTTGAGCCTCAGCCTGGCAAGAAGTATCCAATTGGTTACATGTCTCTGGAAGAAATGGATATATACCTCCACGAAGTTGATGCGTCAATTAATATAGTCCCTGGCATGGCGACCGTTGTCTATCCTCCTACAGCACAAGATGTCACACTCAAGAATCCACATAGTGTTCTCAACTGGCTTCGACGTCATGAACCTAAGATATTTCTCCAAGATGGTGAAGGTCCTATCGAAAAAATAAATACCAAACCTGGTGCTCTACGTGGAGCAGGAAAACGCATTCATATTCCCGCGCCCGCCCGTCAAGATTCCTTGGAAATTGTTGAAGAGGATGGTATTGGCTATGATGCTACTTTAAGTGGAAACAGCTCTAAAATAAAACGAAAGCGAGATGCCGAAGATGATGGTGGATATACACCCAAATCCGGTAACCCAATCAATAAGACTAAGAGGCAAAGGCCGTCCAAAAAGAAGTCTGATCCACCCGGCGAATCAACTCCTTCCTCGAGTTCAAGAAAGAGCAAATCGAGAGCAAAACTTCCATCGCCTGTCGACACGGGTCCAACCCCGCATCCTTTTGGTCCAATCGATTAAACGATTCTTGTGTCATTGAACATGGGTCATCTGAACGTACTTCAAGGAATTGCGACTCAAATCTTCAAGGAGGTATAGAACTTGAAGAACTGCAGTTATAATTCGGAAAATTTGATATATTGAGACTGTATTTTATAGGAAGGAAAGGGAGCTTTTATGATGAACGGATGGATTACTTTCTTGGAGTTAGGGGCAAGGGATTGATATCTGGCTCGCTTCTAAATGCAAAGGGTTTAGGAAAGATGCATCATTTGTACGATACCGGGGGAAAGGAAAATATTGAGGAATCGATGGCTTATCGTTTCTCCAAAGATTTATAGAGGATAGTTAAGGAATGAGTAAAAGTAAAGGAATGATGCTTATTAGGTACTTTCATGATTAATTAATTTGGGATGATTATGGCTACTTGATATTGATATGTATGCATCGATGATTTGTTCAAGGAGAATATATATATCATCAAGATGCGCTGGTCAAAGGGAAAAGGGATAGAAGTATTAGCGAGAGAAAAGCTACCTAGTTAGATGTCAGATCTCTTTGAGAGTAAAGGTTAGGATGACGATGATATCATTGAAATAGGGTCTACACCTGACAGGCTACCTCATCAGCATAGTCTAACAAAATTCGTGCTTGGACATTGAATTCTTAAAATCAGAATGTTTGATGGTTCCAACCATGGCCATTCCTCCACCCATCTCAACATCATCATCCACATTCCACGTGATAAAGAAAGCTCTCACTCTTTTCCGGAACCATTTCCGAAGCGGCCCTTGTAAACTGAACCCTTGTCTACGACTCCTCGCAATTGATGCAGCATCGCCAGTCCGCCATTTGGCCGCTGCTAAATCAACCGATGTGGGGGTAGCTGCAGAGCAAAATGTTATGGAAAAGCTCCGTTGTCGGATAGAGCTTTTGATTCGTAGGCGGGGCACAGCTGATGGATATTTCAGGATTTGGTGAGCATATAGAAAAGAGAGATATTGTGCCTATGATGGATGAATTGAGTGACTGGTTGTATGATTTTGTGTGTAACTTTCCTCTCGTTTCATAGTTTCCGGGTTCGGTCAATTAGATGAATATTACTCCTACAAAATTCCATGGGTAGAGTGAAAGCGGGAGTGAAGTATGAATTGGGGGAAAAGGGAGATTGGAGTCAATGGATTGGATAATCATGGGATAATAGAATGATTAAATTGAATAAGATGTACCAAATTCATTATGTATTGGAAATGCGGATGTTTGGTCATTCATTGTTAAGATGTGACTCCGTTATCGATGTGAAAGCTTGAGCTTGGAAAATTCCTTCCTTTCTTCCCCTCCTTCCCGTCCTTATTTAAAGTTATTCTAGATTTTCTATACACACACACATACATACATATACACTCCTGCAAAATATACAACCTAGAATTGACCCGAGAATATATTCCTCCAGTTTCCAATTCCTCCCTCATTGCTTCCCTCCGAGACATCGTCTCCTTTCCCGCGGTTAAGAGATCCACCACGTTCCTCACTGGTCCTCGGTACAAGCAAGCGCATTGCAGCTGGGAATTTCAAACGTCCGATCGGCCAAGCAGAGTAGCCGTCGAATTCTTTATCAAAAAGCCTCGTCTGCACCTCTTCGACAATGTCTCTCCACCGCAGCATTACCTCTTCCCTTCTTCGCAGCGCACCTCGAACCTCAATCTTCACCCCACGATTTGGCAGCGCCATTACACATTCGCGCACCATGGCATCCGCAGCTTCTTTCCAAAAAATTAAGGTCAAGAACCCAATTGTCGAATTGGATGGTGATGAAATGACACGCATTATCTGGAAGGATATCAAGGATAAATTCATTCATCCTTATTTGGATGTTGATTTAAAATATTATGATTTGGGCTTGGAGTATAGAGATCAGACCAACGATCAGGTTACCATTGATGCGGCAGAAGCTATTAAGAAGTATTCTGTTGGTGTTAAGTGTGCTACCATTACCCCGGATGAAGCTAGAGTTAAGGAATTTAATTTGAAGCAGAGTGAGTCTTTTTTCCTTTTAAAAAAACTGCATGTTTCAGCGAAAATGTGAAGCTAGAAAAGAAGCTAATGAGTCTTAAATAGTGTGGCTTTCACCAAACGGTACGATCCGCAATCATCTAGGAGGAACCGTCTTCCGCGAACCTATCGTTATTCCACGTATCCCCCGTCTTGTGCCTGGCTGGAAAAAGCCAATCATCATCGGTCGTCATGCATTTGGAGATCAATACCGCGCCAAAGATATGGTTGTTCCTGGGCCAGGTACTCTTACCATGACTTTTACTCCCAAGGATGGCAAGCCAACAGAAACTGTCGTCTATGATTTCAAATCAGGAGGAGGAGTTGCCCAAACCCAATACAATACCGATGAATCCATTAGTGGATTTGCTCATGCCAGTTTCAAGATGGCTCTTAACAAGGGATTACCTTTGTATATGAGCACCAAGAACACAATTTTGAAGAAGTATGATGGTAGATTCAAAGATATCTTTGAGGAGATTTTCCAAAAGGAATATAAGACTCAATTTGAGGAGAAGAACATCTGGTATGAACATCGATTGATCGATGATATGGTTGCGCAAATGATGAAGAGTTCAGGTGGTTATGTTATGGCTTTGAAGAGTATGTTTTCCCTCAACCATATTTTATGTCTCCAGATGGAATAAGCTGACTCAAATCACCAGACTACGACGGAGATGTTCAATCTGACATTGTAGCCCAGGGATTTGGTTCCCTTGGTCTCATGACCTCAGTTCTCATCACCCCCGATGGAAAGACCTTCGAATCCGAGGCTGCACACGGAACAGTCACCCGTCATTACCGTGAACATCAAAAGGGTAACCCTACATCCACAAACCCCATTGCATCAATCTTTGCCTGGACAAGAGGTTTGATCCAAAGAGGTAACTTGGATAATACCCCAGAAGTCGTGGCTTTTGCAGAGAGCTTGGAACAAGCTTGTGTGGATGTTGTTGATAAGGAGGGTATCATGACCAAGGATTTGGCATTGGCTTGTGGAAACACCGGAAAGGGAGATTATGTTACCACTGGAGAATATTTGGAGGCTGTTGAGAGAAGAATGAAGGGGCTCTTGAAGGAGAAGTTGTAGAGTGCAATTTTATGAGTTAAGATTTACATCATGGAGTTAATATATACTTGTTGTGGGTGATGATTTGGTGCGTGTGGAGGAGGTGGATAGCCCATATATCGATCTAGATGGTTGGTGCGTCTGTGCATGCGTTGGTTGGTACAAATAAGTCTGTTTTTTTCGTTACAATGCATTTTCTGGAGTGGAGAACCCTGTCTACGGATAGGATAATTTAGTAAACATCATTTAGGAAGTATATCATATTATGAGTGGGCGAAAACTTGGTCTACTTGGCTTTTGGCATGCATGTGTGGCTTTTTGGTGGGGATGATGGTTTGTGAGGGATTGGGATGACAGTGAGAAAAGGACGGGAGGTGGAAGAAAGAAGAGGCAAAAAGAGGAGAAAGAAAAGAAGTTAAATGGGAGAAAATGGAAAGAAGGAGAATAGGAGAGAGAAGGGGGAGGAGCGGAAAGGAGGGAAATATAGGAAGTATATATTGGAATTTTGTATAAGCATTTGAAGGTGATTTTGGATGTGAGTCTGAATCGAAATTCGTATGCTTGTGTGTGTGAATATGTAAATTCTGAAATGAGAAATGAGAAACGAGAATTATGGTTATGGGGTGGGATGTGTGATGTGTGATGATAGGGCGGGAATCTAGAGTTGGTGAAGAATAGAAAAAGATACGAAGCAAGATAAGCGGGACATCGGAATATTAGGGGTGAATATGGAATGTGAGGATACTGGCATAGATTGAAAGGGTAGAAGGAATAGATTGGTGTTTTGAGGGGGTATTTGGGGAGGGATCATGGAAGATGGAGTGATGGAGTGATGGGCTGATGGAAAGTTTGGGGGAGGGTGATTGAGTCTAGGGGCGAAAAGAGGGAAAGTATGAGAAGAGATGAGAGGGGAAGGGAATGAGACGTTTGGGGAAAGTATTGCGGTATATGTAAGGTTGTGGTAGCATGTAGGATAAAGGGTGTAGGTGTTTGAATATGGGATGAACGATAAAGGATGGCCTTGAGGAGAATTTTGATGACTGTCCAAAAGTTAAGATGAAGAGTTGAAAGCTTAATTGAGAATAGATGGGTATGGAAATATTAAGTAAGGAGACGAAGTCAATGGACATGGCGGTGCGCAAAAATCAAATCATCAGAAAGAGAAAGATGTTGTGAAAAACAAATAAATTTTTTCCGTTATTATAAGAAATACTAGCCTGGGTACAATAAAGCAATTAAAAGACCACATCCTCCTATCCCTTCCAAATTCCTATCCGTAGTCTTCATTAAATCATTAAGGAGTGTAGTGTAAGAGAAACAAATATAAACTAAAACCCGTCAAAAAGCCTCCATCCGTCATAGCCATCATCGAAATCATAAGTTAGAGTGAATCCGTTTGAATGAAAGGAATCGTACGATTTCTGTATCCGGATAGATCAGTCATCGCTCACAAAGTCACAGTTTTCGATCTCTTGGACTTACATTTCTTTTCGGATCCCCATCCGCCCCAGTTACCGCCCTTGTAGGAGTCCGATGGGCATCCTCCAACATCACAGATAGCCTTGGGGTACTTGGCATCATAGTCTGCTCTGCTATAGGAGTACGCCTGGCTAACAGACCAGTACTCGGATCCTCTCCATTGGCCGTAGTTGGTTGCGTGGTTGGGAGCCCAGACTTCGGTATACATGGAACAGTAGATTCCTTGAGGTTTGTTGCTTTGACTCAATACGTAGACGACGGCTTGATTGCAGATGGCTGGGTGGCCGGAAGAAGGAGGATGCTCAAGGTTGTATTTGGATTGCGCTGTGCAGGCGGATGTACAGGCGACGACTCCGTACTCGTAGGTTTTGACATCGTCGAAAGAGAAGAACTTGTAGCCCATGTAGGTATCAGTCTTGGTGACTGGATCGAGAGGGGCCTGCATGGCTCCTCCGAGAGAAACTGGGCCATTGTATTTATCACAAGGTTCTGGGGAGTACTTTTTGTTGTATCCATTGGATCCGGAAATGACGACGCGGAAGTCCTCTGGGGGATTGTTAGTATGCTGTAAGATGTGATTGCTCCAAATGGGGAGGGAAAAAAGCCTACTTCTATATTGGCCAGTATTGGTAGCAGTCTCCTTCTTGATTTGAACACCCCACTTCACACATTTGTAGTTGATGGTGGAAGGTGGGTTGGAGCACTTGTAGCCAGGATCAACAGTGGGATCACGTTCAAAGTAGATGTTGAAGGCAATGCAGGCTTCTTGTTGATCGCAGTATTGAGCACACTCAACAGTGTCATAGGATTTCAAGGTCTTATAACCAAGATACGAGGTGGTCTGGGTAGAGCCTTTGAGCTCAGAGAAAGCAAGAGTGTACCCTTGTGGGGTAGGAGCTTTAGAAGCAACCTTGTTGTATTGAGGGTCGGCCAAAAAAGCATCGGCGGTATCTGGTCTTTTACGTTGTCAGTCGGAGTCTAAGTTTAAAGTTATCATGTGCTATGAACTTACTTGGAGTTTGGGCCATAGCCGAGAGGTTGTTGCTCGCAATCGCGTTTGGAAAGATTGCGCTTTCTAGCGGCTCCGTCTGGAGCAGCAACATCGTTTACTGCCGCAGCTCCTTCGAGGACGGCATCAGAAACTGGCTTAATCCCGACATCTTGGGAAGAGACGTCGACTGGAGCAGCAGACACTTCAGCTTGCGGAAGAGCGTCAATGGCACCCAAATCGATGTCTTGGGGAAGTGGATTGGCAAAGGCTAAGGCTGCAAAAGCTGAAGCGATGATGACGGGACGCATTTTGATTCTTGAGCAAAGGTTTACTTGAGTTGATTGTGAGTGTAAGATGATTGAGAAGATGTTGATTATCTTGGTTTGAAGTGAAAAAGATCCCCATTCTTATACTTCTTCATCACGTAGAGAATGAATTTTGATATGAGTCCATAGAGTCTGATGGACTCGACTTGAGCCCAAGACTTGAAGATCAAGCGTGGACTGTACTGCTTGCTGCAGATCAAGCGCCACATTCAATAGAATGAGGGGTCGAAGATAGGGTCAGATTCCAGATGCCAGCTCCCATAGATGTATGAACTCGGGTGTTCATCAGCAGCATCGAGAAACTCATGGAGTTGATCCCTTGTACATTTGGTATAATATCCTGCATCTTTCAAGCCACATGAAGTATAATTTGTTCTCATTCTACTTGAATAAAAATCCATTGACTGTTGTGGCACTAGTCTTTCGACATTTCGTCAATTGCAAAGACGTCGCTATTGCACTAGGTTTCTCGGAGAATACTAACCCCAAAATGATAATCGCAATATCCAAAGACTTGGTAAAGAGCTTACAAAGAAAAAGAGAGAGCCACCAGATTCCAATTGAGGTGATTCAAGGTGTTCTGGCCGTGCGCAATATTCGGAAGATTTCTTGATTCCGAATCGGAATTTTTACTGGTGACTATGATTAGAGTTGAGAGTGTGTACCGATGTGATCAATTTGGGAAGAGCCTCGCATGGAGAGCACCATTTGTCCGAAAAAGGAATTCTTAGGCTTACAGATACATGAGCTTAGTTAGCAAGATCAAGCTCGGAATAGTCTAATGATATTCGGCCAAGCCACTAGGAAATCCGGAGATGAAATCCTCAGGTTCATAAATACAAAACTTTGTTCGGCAAGGTTTGCCCGGAATAGTTTAGAGCTAATCACACGGTCCATACCGTCGAGAAACGTAGGGACGGTAATATGCTTACCGTGATCAGGTACCAGGAACAAGCGAATACCAATATTAAAACTCCGAGAGCATGACGAACATGTGAATATGCAAGACAAATCGTTGTTTTCGTAAGACCTACCCGCCACGATGATCTTTGGATCTTGATATGCTACATGAGAGAGGAATTTCCTTTGGTTCCTATCAGCTGGTAACTGCTATGATTGTTCATCACGGGGAATGGACTTGTGGAACTCCAACAATTTCTGAAGATTTTCCGAGCTGAGAGCTAGGTGGATCTTCTCCGCCAAGTGGACTTGAGCATGTTCATACATGCAGATGTGTATCGCACTTCTCAAGAAAATAGTGAGCTGTCACTGCCAATATTGATTGCGAGACGGGCTGAATAATTTCATGTAAGCTTTAACATGACAATTGTATGCCACGCGTAAAAGGTACGTAAGAATCACTTTTCTGTGGAATTTGACTTCAAGAACTACGAAGTTAAAGTTTTTTTTGAGGCAAAAGGGTGTCTGGGGAAGATCATCAGATTAAAGCAGATCTCCCGCTGCAAAGAATGCGTGCGACGATCTAGAGCAATGACTCTTAGCTTCTCTCAGATATTAGACGACGACCCAGCGCTTCGGTAGTTTCAACGTGATAAAAACTTCAAAGGAGAATCCAAATCGGGAGTGCCAAGGCATGGTATCGTTGTATAACAGTGATAGCTTCTTCAAACCTTAATCCCGTTGATGCTAGAGTCCACTACTACACAGATACGAGATGCCACTCACTGGGCATTTTAAGAAAACGGCCTGCAAAACTAATCTCAACAACGAGGTGAAGTAGCGATTTTTTGGTTTGGATATGAGAGAACTGTCTTGGAAATGTGGACTATGTCTTTAAACCCACTACAGTTGTATACCATGTGGTAAAAAGATACCCCTCATAGGTGTCAGATTGTCAATGTCATCTCTTAGACCCGAGCAATCTGTAAGCGTTGTGTCAATCACGATGGCCGTTTCCGCTTCATATACCCATATACGGGATGCTCAATCCATTCCCAGACATCGAACTTTGAAATGATCTCGTTCCCCCAGAAATCCCTATAATTCCTAATTCTGGGTGTACGAATGAAAAATTGGGGGCAATCCGGATCAGATACTGGTACCGCACAGACAATAGTATGAACGCATGGAAGTAGACTTCCAAGTACGTCGGACTTTCCCTAATCTAAGCCGCCGGAATCCCAAGAAAGTACCAGCTGATTTATTATTGGTTGGTGTATTCAGAATGCATGTCAAAAAGGTGCGTGAGTTCAAGGTTCGCAGATCAACCCCGGACAATGTATTTAGCTAAAAAGATCACGTAACCTTAGTTGATTTGAGTTTATCTATACGCCTTGCGTTGACAATAAAAATGCATATCAAGGTTCAGACCGTCAAGCATACTACTCAAATTATGTCCACTAGAACATCATTTAATCAACAGCTGATTATTATACATCATGTACCCAAGACAGATGGCTGCTTCGGGACTTGAACCAATTCGTTCTATATCCAATCACCATTGAAGCTCAGGAGAACAAACTCTCTTTCGGTGCATAAGAAAGATACATGATCAGCTCGGTTCGAACTTTGAAGAAGCCAAAGTTTCCTATATCTGACGCTCTGGGACAAACTCAATTGTGCCACAAATATGCGTTGATAGATATGAACAAATGAGGACTTGAAAGTGGAAGACCGATATGTCATTGGGAAGTATCGAGAAGCCATGTTCTCTCAACTTTCATACTTTGGAACAAATTCAATTGTGCCACAGAAGTCTGTCGGCTACTATGCATATTAGCTGCGAAGTTGGGAGTTGGAGATCGTTCTCATTGAGAGACATCGAAATGACTCTGAACTTTGGATATCGTTTTGATTCGGAAGAGTCGTACGACGAAGCTGCGGGTATCCGAAGTATTGGGATGAATTCGAGATCACTACATCAATTTCATTATCGGGTCCTTGGATTGTAATGGCGTACCACATGAAGATGCGTCATCAGGTAGCAACAGAGAGACGAGAGTACTGGAAAGAAGAAGAACCACCTGGTAAAGAACATATTCAATGTTTTACTCTTCCTTATCTGGCAATATTGAGACTTTCAAAGATGGTTGTTTGATATTTCTGAATTGCTCATCTTTCCTTTATCTATGGAACTTTTCATTTGCTCATTTCGCGATGATAAGATGGAATTCGTGCCTGCATGTCAGCGCGTGAATTACGCCATGCACTACGCGTCATCATCAGGTACGATCTCTTGCAACCCCTTCATCTTCTCGCTTTACGCACTCTAGTCTCTTATCCCAGCATTTTTTTCTACCACTCATTATGTACGCCTACCGTACACTGCCTTGATTCTCTTGAGATATAATCAGGAGCGAAAACGTCGAATTATTCATGTACGATTCATCTGATGTACAACTCACCGTGCATGCGACAAATAAGGTCAGTTGGTTCTATTTCGAGGGAAGGTAGTTACTGCGAGCCGTGCCGCTCTGACATCAGACATTTCTTTGCGAAAACACATTGATTGTTGCTTCCCAAAGTTACAAAATATGTAAAGTATATTTGTATTTGTATTTCTTTAACACTACATTTCTCTTCTTTTTTTCTTTTCTCTCCTATAACTCAATTACTCCCCATTTTTTTCGTTGGATATTTCATGCGCCGGCGCAATACTTGAATTTAGCTGCGAAGATGTCTATATCAAAAACAAAACCACGATCCTCGCACGATGGCGACGAGGAATCTCCTCTCCTTGATCAATCACGACTAACTACCGTTGACACACACTCTGTGATTCTTCAAACGCATTCCCCGCGGATAATTATCTTACTACTTACCACGATAGTTTTCATAATTGGGTTTGGAATATACTTGACTTGGATACCATCGATGCGTATATATGAGGATATATTGTGTCATCGTTATTATGAAGAACTACAGGGACAAAGTGGGGTAGGGCCGAGTAGCACAATTGATGAAGCTAGGTGCAAGGGCGATAAGATTCAAGAAGAATTGAATATTTTGACTGCGGTATTGGAAACATTGAAAGCGTTACCAGGTAGGGAGGAGCTTCTTGAAAAGAAAAATTAAAGACTGGTGTTGATGATGTGTAGGAATGTTTATGGCTGTTCCATATGGACTCTTGGCTGATAAGTACGAATTTTTTATATCTTTAAAGTTATATGGTCAATATTTTGCGATTTGATTTGTTCTTTGATTTTCGAAGCATTTATCTGACATAGAAATAGAATTGGACGCAAACCAGTTTTTGCTTTGTCAATCCTTGGTCTCCTCCTCTCCCTTTTATTTGAAATATTCATCATGAGCGAGTGGATGATGCTACCCATCCGTGCTGTGTGGTTTGCGCCATTTTTACAATTCATTGGTGGCGGTGAAAAGACCGCTTCCGCAATATTTTATGCTATCATCTCAGATGTTACTACTCAAGATGAAAGGTATTGATCCAAATTATTTCAGATTCTTGGTTCTTAACACTGATGAATGATAGAGCAAATGCTTTCCTTTTCGCTGCATGTGCCTCACTCTCTGCAGAACTTATTGCACCAACCGTAGCAGCCACAATTATGATCTATTCTCCATGGATCTCAATATGCTGCGGAGTATTTGTTTTGACATCAGGATTGCTATGTCTCATCGCTTTTGTACCCGAAACACTCCATCTTCATGCTTCTCAAACACAAACCTCCACATTGGTCCCAGACGATTCGTCTTCGGAATACATAAGTGATTCGTCATCCGATTTCAACGAGCCCTTAAAGCCAAAACGGAAACCGACCATCACCCGCCGTCTATCTGATTTCTATACCACTAGTCGACCTCTCCTTACTCTACCCGTTCTTCTTCTCCTTCTACCATCTATGACCCGCGTCATAGGTCAACAATCAATCGAACTTTGCATCCGCTACATATCTACCCGCTTTTCCATCCCCTTATCCCACGCTTCTCTCATTCTCTCTCTACGGGCCCTGATAAACATTCTTCTCCTTCTATTTCTTATTCCCTTCCTCTCCTCCCTT